CAGGTCTGTAGTCACCATATCTTACCCAGTGATACATGTTTGCTATAAGCTGTGTATGCATTAAGTGTTTTTTGGAAAATAATACTGATACGCAAATAAGTAAGCACATTTATTAAACCATCACAGAATATTTTCCAATGTAAAAATCCATTACATATATATAACACAGGACCTAACGGTAGTACTTTTTTTGAATTCATGCAATCTAGTTGTAGGTTTGCATTTATATCATGCAGCAAAGCCAAATTAAATAAAGCAGTAAATAAATTAATCCTTTGTATGGGCTCCTCTGTCTCTTCCGTAATTTGGTTTTACCATAGTATGTAATATCTCATGTTCGTGTAGATGAGATACGATATTTGATACATGTATATTGACAACTTGTGCATACAACTAAATGCATTTCAATATGTGCATGTATGGATCTTTTAAATAGTATATGTGCCTTATAACATTATGAGACATAACAATTTATTTGCATCCAGAACACCAATTTCATATTGTATATCACACATTTTTGTATGTGATCTAATAACTGTGTACAGTGGCAATTATTGTAATATTTTTTGCTTCTTTGACAGATTTACATTTAAGATTAATTTAAAAAAAAAAAAATGTCATGTGACTTCTAAGGACCAGAAGGATACTGGTTTCTACTGATACTGATAATTTAGAACAGGTGAAGATCACATAAGGCTCTTAACTATCAATCTGTAAAACAAGACAAATCTTATTTTTATTAAATATTCGTTCCTGAGTAATTTGATAACAGTTTCATGCATTCGTCATGACACCTTTTACACTTGCCACTTTTACCACTTTATACATTTTAATTCAACCCCCCAAGAACCAAGGTTTGAGATGTGACTCATTTGTGACCAAGCCCCTTGTGGCACTTTTTCCATGTGTTCATTCTTCCGCTATCTACCAACTTCTCTGTTTAAGTGCAACCATACATATATATCATTTATAAAGGAGAAATATGGCTTTGTTTGACACCCTATATGTATACATAACTAAATATGTATAATATAACTCAACATATATTGTCCTGATTGTTAAAATGAAAAATATCTAGTATTTAAATAAATTTTTATGCAATAAAATAAATATTACAAGGAGTGAATTATGGTTTTAAAGGGTAAAACTTCACAAACTTAGGCATGCTGAAATTATAACTTTTATAGTAGTCACAGAATCTAAAACCAATATGTAGTATATATTTGTAGAAAGTACACACCCAGGCTATTTAACTAGCATTTTAAATTTTTTCATCTAGGAGAAAACAAGGGTTTGGCTGCACTCACCTAAACATACTTAAATGGGGTGCTTCTGGTGGCCAATAAGTACAGTAAAAATGAAAATCCAGTGCACTCACTTATCTACTAAACAGTTATTTTAGTGCTGAACAATTTTGTTAGTTTTAGTAAAAACACATAATCTAGGCAAAAAATAATGGGGGTTTAGTTACAGTATATGCTCATACATTGCATAAGCCTGCCACAACGCCAATGTACCCCATCTTTGGCAGATCCTACTCTGTCTGCTAAATGAGCTACTCACTTGGGGAAATCCTTCCATCTCGAGTTTTTTCATGTAACCATTTTATCACAAAATATTGCACACTGCTGTAAGCAGCTCACATTTCTATTTTGCTATTATTCTGAATTACAATGATACCCCACATGTCTATACCCCCTATTCTTGCTCCTATTCCAAACCTTAATCATACTCCTACTCCTACCCGTAATATGACACATAATCCTGCCAATAATCCTACCCTCTAAACCCAGTTCAGAGGGATTCACTATGTTGGCATCGGTACTGAATTCAGCAGAGGGATTTCACAGATAACCCAGTACAGAGCGTTCTGTGAAAGCTCAGTATTGAGTGATTGCAGCATGAGTGGGAGATCTCCCTCTCATGCTGCAGCTCTTGTAATTGTGAGAACTGCTGGGAAGCTGGCAAAGCCCAGCACCGATCACTAAGCAGAGGCACATGCAGGAAGACCTCACCATGGGGGCACACTCAAGATCACAGTGCCTGAGTGCAATTGTTCAGCTGTGGTATGTAATTTAAAAGGCCATATGCAGCTCTCATCTTGAGCTCTACACATAGTTCATCAGTCAGTCTAAGACCACTAATTGTGGGTCTAGCTGATAGAGGGGACCCTCAGGTATTAAATCATACTCGGGCTCCCTGTTTTAAGGTGAAGAAATGCTCAAACTGCAGCAGGTAAGCTCGATTGCTTATCTGCAGTATTAAAAAGGATTAAAAGGGCTATGTACAGTGCTCATGTGGAGTGCTGCTCATAGCTCATCTGTCAATCTGGAGCCATTAACTGAGGCCCTAGCTGAAAGAGGGGACCCTCTGGTATCCAATGTTTCATGGGGCTCCTTGGTACTTGCAGGAATTTAACCCTGCTTGTACTTTTTATGCATCATGGTCTATGCGAGCAACAAGCTTGATGATAGCATGTATCATCATGTGGTTATTAATGGTCATCACACATATGTTTGATAAGTCTAACAATTAAGATAGCATTATAACTTTAACCCCCTTAAGGACACATGACATTCCAGAAGTTTGATCCTTAAGCTGTTAAAAGGCACTATTCGATGTGTTGTGTATACGTTATGCTATATTAATCATATTTACACATGTTCAAATTAGAATTTGAAATTTAGAAGTCTGTTTTTTTATTATGATGTTGATAAAAATTAAATTGAAATGGTTATGTTCCGAGTTAAGTTGCTGGAAAAGTTTTATAGTCCACACAAGTAAACAGACAAGTAAGTCTATTGCATAAAACAAATGCCATTTAGTTTCTCTAAAAATATTTTTTCTCTTCTAAAATGCACATCTTGTTTTGTCACCTAGACTTATACCTTGTTTGGAAAATAGACTTAGCCCACTGTGAATGTCAGTCAACAGACTTATTTACAGAAATTTAAAATAATGTTCTCGGTGCTATTATAACTTCAAATATTTGATTGGGTCATTTGCCTAGTGTGCTGGGTTAAATCAAATAACTGTGTGACTGCTCATTTCTACATTGCAACATTTCATTGCAATGTTTATTTTTCTGATAAATGTCAGCTTTTTCCAACTTAGGTACATGGCATGGAAAAGGATATTTTTAAAACTTAAAAACTGCACTTGCTGTAAATTACTTGAAATCACAAAAACACAGTAAAACCTCCAAACGTTCAATGAGGGGAATGGGAAGATTCTGCTCCATACTAGTGAAATGTATTATACATACTGAGGTCTTGATCTTTCTTTTAAATATTTATAATATTTAGTAGAACAAATCTGGGCTGAAATGGATATATTGGATATAGGAGTCATGCTAATCATGTGACTTCTAATCTGCAGGGAGAGTTGGGAGAAAGTGAGTCTGTCACTTCCTCTCAGCTCACTCACACTTAGACACAGCTGCATGGGAGGGTGGCTGGACTGGAAGATGAACCTGCTCCTAAATCCCACCAGCCAAAGCCAGCAGAAGCCAACTATATGTTTCAAATGAGACTAGTATATAACAACCCTCCATTGTATAAATCAATTTTATTCAATAAACAAATGGCTAGCTAAAATAAATATAAAAAATCACTTTAAATAGCATTTAAAGATAAATTCTGATAAAGGCGTCCTCAGTCAGTAATATATTCTCTCCTGCTTCTGGCTTAAATCTTCTTTGGTGCCATCTTGTTTGCTTGTGGCATGTGTTCTTCACCTCAATTAGGGGCCAGAATAGATAACCTATGCATTCCAACACCTATCATCAGTATCTGGGGGGGGACTAGTTCTCCTCTCCATCTATCCTTAAACAGTCACATAAAATCCATTTCTCGTCGTGTTGGCTGCATTGCAATATCCAGTTCCGGTTTGGGGGGCTACCTTTGTTTGCATTCCAGCGGCAAAGCTAGCCATTATACCTTGCGTTTCAGTTGCTATATTAACCTTATTTGCTTATATCTTTCTCCTGTTATAGATATTTATGTCAGATGCTTGGATCCCTCATATGGTGCAGAAATATGTCAGCGTTTTCCTGTACCCTCATACAAGAGGAACAACTTCATATGGATTCAGACACTGTTCTCCAAAGGCACCGTTCAATTCCCTCCAGAAGCTTTTTCAACAATATCTTGCTGGTGCTAAAAAAGATGGGGGACTTTCATCTGGTCAATTTCCTTTAACTAAACACCTCCATCTTTTACAGGCACTTCAAGATGGAGAGCATCCATTTACTACAAGATCTCCTCCAGAAGGACAATTGATTTGCCTATTGATTTAAGAGACACTTGTTTATTTGTTCCTACAGCTCCAGAGAGCTGTACTTTCCTCATGCCCTTTGGACTGAGCTCGGCACCATGCTGTTTTATCAAATTTCATGCTGTCATCTCCATACCAAGAGCATACGTTGATTCTTATATCTGGGCAATCTTTTTATCTTTTGCAATGCTGCATCACATATGAGGTAACAGACGTAATTTGTAGTTTACTTTCTGGAATATCTTAGTTTGCACTCGAGAAAAGTCAGTACTGACTCCACGTCTTACAGTTTTTGAGGTTTGAGATATACAATGAATTGCATTCTTTGCTTACCGCAGTTCAAGAATTCATTGATAAGAAAGGAGACCAGAAGAGTTATTTAATTGGATCTTATATCTCTACACATGTTGGCACACCTGGTTGGGCGTCTCTTATCCTCCATCCAGGTGATCTACCCTATTCTCGTGCACTACCAAGAAACGCAGTGCCTGAAGGCCAGCTTTCTCTGGCCCAAACCCTAAAACAACCAACTAGTACCTCTAATTCGAGATATCAAAAAAAAGTTATCTTTGGACCATCACTAGACTATATTGTAACATAGGATGTCAGCCTAAGGGCCAGGGGAGAGACCTGCATGGATCAGTCCATGGTTGGTTACTGTCAAGGAGCACTATCTTCCACAGTAATTGTAAGCAGGACGAGGTAGTTTTTTCCAACTGTACAGAGTTCAGGGTCTGTTCTCAGTAGATTTATTTGCCTCAATTTCTGACTTTCTTCAGCTGGCATCCAGATTCGGAATTAAGGTCCCTGGATGACTTTCTGCAGGGTTGTCCACTTCAGATTGGCATATGCGTTCCCCCGTTTGCTATGATCGTTCTGCCTCAGGTTCAATTCTCCTTTAGGTTCTGGCAAAGTCAAGCATGGTTTCTGGATCTCCTGGAACTGATGTGCCGGGAACCTCTGTTACTTCTGTCATTTCCGTCTCTCCTCATGGACTATCTGGGGAATCCTTATCCTCTGAACCTCCAAGACTGTCTAGTGGTCTTTCCAGGGATACTGGAATGTTGATGGCCTACTAAGGACATTCTATAAGACTTGTGGACCCCAGGGACATGGAGATGCTATCTTTCCGCATTGAACTCCTGGAATGGTTTGTGTCTGGAAAGGGATCTTGATCCCTTTACAGCATCTTTTCCAGCATTAAATTTTTATGTCCTTTTCGTTTCCTTGAGGAGGACTTATCCCTATATCCACATGATGCAATCTGCTATTTTGGCTGCTCACTATCTTAGTCAGGATCCTATATTTTGTCAACTATTACGTTGAAATATTAAGATGTCACGTCACCCAGTTCCTAAATACTGCCACTTATGGGATATGGTTCTATGTTTTTCCATGCTTGCCCAGACAATGTGTACGTGTCTCTCTGACAACCTCTAGCGAAATTCACTCTGTTGTTATGTCTTGTCTCCTTTTGCTGTGTTTCAGACGATCGGGCATTTAAAATAGATGTTTTTTCATATTCCCTGGAAGGAATCGCCTTTTCAACTTCGTTTTGGCCAAAGTCGGATTCGTCCTCTGTTTTTTTATTTTTTATTTCAGGATACTTATAAACTGTTTTTTTATTAGTTTTCTCAGGATATCCTAAACTGTGTTTTAATTCTTTCAAGATATTCCTAAACTGTGTGTCTTGTCTTCCTTTCTCTATTACATTGAGGTTACAGCTCTGGTTCATTCCTCTGTTTCTCAGGGCAGCTTTTTATTTCATATGTGCGCTCTCACAAAATGGTTCCTACCACCACCTTGGCTTGGTGGGTGCATTGGGCGGATTGGTCTAGAGAGCATATGTTTCATGTTTTATTTCAAACCATCTCCTCGCTCTTCTTTTTTGTTTTTCTGAGCATTAAAAACGCAAAATATGAAGCCTTCTTTCAAGTAGGAAAATTTTAGATTAAGCTAGCTGTAGTGTACCAATAATCTTAATTTTAGTTATGAAAGGAGGCAAATATTTTCAGTCACTTCCCTTTCTTTCCTATTAGATTTTTTCTCCTTTGTGATGACTTTGATAAACTGGATGTTATTTGTTGTTATTTTTACTATGGGTATAATGTATTTATTATAAATTCATTTGATATTCATATTGGATTTGTTGAATATTTTGTCCACCTTGCACATATTTTGTTTCACTTTCATTTCTGGATTCCAGATGTCATGTGGAGCTCCTGAGAGACTACATCTTGGTGGCATTTGTTACGGTTTCTGTTATTTATGATGTTATTTGGCATTTTTTCCTTGTTGCATTTTACCTGTTTACCATGTTTTACCCGTGTTTTGATTTTGCTTGCATCAAGAAAAAGGAGGACTTTTTACTGCATTTCTTTAAGTGGTCTGGTGCCTATATTGTCCCTTTAAGGACCATATTTCAGTGGTGTTCATACACAATGTTTTCTTCTAAAAGTAAAAAACTAAAAAAATTATAAAATAACATTCCACACTGTCTTAAAAGTAAAATTTTGGTCTTTGTCTCAGCTTGTCATTTTCACTAAAATACATTTGCCAATACACTTTAAAATATTACCTTTAATAGCAAGCTGAAGCTAAAACACTTTCATTCTTACTCAGATTCACTTAGATTAGTATTAACTTTCCTCCACTATTATTTATTGAGATGTAAAAACTGCAAGAATGTAAAATTGTCCATGTTGGATCTCTGCGGGATTCTTCTGCATAGTTCACACAAGTATTACTGGAATTCACAATAAAACAAATTGTGATGACGTAGACACACGTACGTGCGCGCCTATGCCTTGTGGGAGACTTTGCCGGGTTCCAAGAGAGCGCTGATGCCGATACGCTGAGAGATTGTGGTCGGTTGGATGGTGAGATGGTCTTGCATGGTTGCAATGCCGGACAGGAGTCAGGAGAGAATTAAGTTGATGTCAGGAGTGTACACAAGGACATACTGACGGACGGAGCCCAGAAGTTAGCAGAAATTCCTAAATTAACACACCAGGGATAAGTGCTAAGTGCCTAAAAAAAAAAAAAAAGACCAGTTTTAGTGTCTGGGAGGTATAGTTAAAGAATAGGAGCTGGGACCGAAAAAGTCAAAGAGAAGGGGAAAACAAGAGAATGGAACGAGGGGAGAAAAGGAAAAGAAGCAGCAAAAAGCGTGAATTAGTCAGATAAGGCTAACTGATATAAACTAAACCTGTATAAGCAGCCTTTACCCTTTACAAATTTTGTGTGAGAAACAGTTTTTTTTCTTTTTATTGCCTCCCCCTTAGGTTTGTTTCTTTCTATTTTTTTCTTCTATGTGGCAAATTGTGTAAGCTTCGCCAACTGTTATATAGTGTGTAAATATAATAGAGAGATTCTCACAGCAAAGTAATAGACCACAGAAAAACTCGTCTGAAAGAGCAAAGTAAAGAAAAAGAGAAAGATACAATGGCATCTAAAAAAATCAACGGAAGATAAACAAATCACAGAAAAAAACTAAAAAACATGAAGTATCACAAGAAAGAAGAGTGTCTAATTTTTTTTATTTATTTTTTGCCACAGTCAGACAAAAGTACCCAGCCCAGAATGCAGGATGACTTGAGTTTGTTTGAAACTAAAGAGCTTGAAATAGAAAATGGGTCGCCAGAAAATCAATTTCAGATCAGACTATCATCACTGCAGAGCACTTAGCTAAATGCTTTGAGCACAACTGGTTAAAATCAAAGCAGAAAGTTTTACCTCCTCTACTGACATTAGTGACCTAGCCAAGATCGGAAAAAGATTAATAAAAATGGAAGAGAAGACGGATAACATCTCCCTTCAAACACAGACTAATACTGAAAGGCTGAAAATATTAGAAGAAAAAACAGAAAATCTACTAAACAAATTTGGAGACTTTGAGGATAGGTCACGAAGAAACAACCTCAGATTAAGAGGCATTCCTGAAAATATCTTGGCATATAAACTAGAAGACTTCTGTGAAGGTTTATGCCCAAATAAAGAATTCAACTACATTGAAAGAAGTCATAGAGTCATGAAACCTAATACGGTACCAGAACATGTACCACGAGATGTGATCATTTGCCTGCATTCATTCCATTTCAAAACACTAGTGGTACATGCTAATGCTGCTAAAGACCTAAAAGATTCACCATATTCACAAATAAAAGTGTTTCAAGACCTATCTTTACAAACAAGATTGAACAGGAAAGCATTTGCACTATTTACTGTTACATTGAAAGAACATGAAATAAATTATGCATGGGGCTTTCCGACAGGACTGAGTTTAACTTATGAAGATACCAAGTGTATTTTCCACAAACCGCAGTCCTTGAAACAATGGCTTCAAGAAAATAATTAAATTAAGAAGGAAAAGAAGTAAAGGCATGAAATGGAGAAAGAAAAAAGAAGTTTAACAGAATTTTTTTTTCTCGCTCTCTCTCTCTTCCTCTTCCTCTTTCCTATGTTCTTGGTTTAGTTATGTAATAAGCAAGAATAGAGGAACTGAAATGAGCAAAAATGAGATATATTAGGAAATAAGGTTTAAGTTATGATAGAGAAGAAGACAGAGGAGGTCGGGGGAAAGGAGAAATCAGCATTGGTATAGGTCAGTGATGGCGAACCTTTTTGAGCCCGAGTGCCCAAACCATAATACATGCCAATTTTTCCCCCTCAAAGTGCCAAAACGGCATTTAAACCTGAATACTGAGGTTTAAGTTTAGAAAAAACAACTCATACAGTTGTCCGAACTAATTAACATCTCTGTGTGTGAATTAAGCAGTTTGTGTGTGTGCTCGGCAGTCTGTCTGTATGTGTATTTAGCAGTCTGTCTGTGTACTTAGCAGTCTGTCTGTATTTAGCAGACTGCTGAGTACACAGTCTGCTGAATACACACACAGACTGCTAAATACACACACACACAGACTGCTAAATACACACACACACAGACTGCTAAATACACACACACACAGACAGACTGCTGAGTGTACAGACTGCTGAGTGTACACACACAGACAGACTGCTGAGTGTACAGACTGCTGAGTGTACACACACAGACAGACTGCTGAGTGTACACACACAGACAGACTGCTGAGTGTACACACATTGCATTGAGGGGTACAGTGTATGTGTTTGTGGGTGGAGTGATGTGTGTGGGTGGGGTGTTTGTGTGTGGGGTGGTGTGTTTGTGTGTGGGGTGGTGTGTTTGTGTGTGGGGGGGTGGTGTGTGTGTGTGTGTCTTTTTGTGGGGTGATATGTGTAGGGCAGGGGTGCTGTGTGTATGTTGTCCCCCCTCTCCCCCCCTGTTTTCTTTCCCCCCATCCCTCCCTCATTTTTTTCTCCCATCCCACACTCAGTTTTCTCCCCCCATCTCTCCCTCGGTCTCCTTCCCCATCTCTCCCTCAGTCTCCTTCTCCCTCCCCCCATCTCTCCCTCAGTCTCCTTCTCCCTCCCCCATCTCTCCCTCAGTCTCCTTCCCCCCCTCCCTCAGTCTCCTTCCCTCAGTCTCCCTCCCCCAGTCTCCTTCCCCCCATCTCTCCCTCAGTCTCCTTCCCCCATCTCTCCCTCAGTCTCCTTCCCCATCTCCCCTCGTCTCCTTCCCCAGTCTCCTTCCCCATCTCTCCCTCAGTCTCCTTCCCCATCTCCCTCGGTCTCCTTCCCCATCTCCCTCAGTCTCCTTCCCCATCTCCCTCAGTCTCCTCATCTCTCCTCAGTCTCCTCCCCCATCTCTCCCTCAGTCTCCTCCCCCCCTCAGTCTCCCCTCCCCCCTCCTCTCCCTCAGTCTCCTACCTTGTAGCGTGGCCGAGCGCCGCGGAGCTCAGTCTCCTGTACCTGGCGGACAGGAAGTGCTCTCTCTGTGAGCACTTCATTTCCGTCCGCCCGGGTACAGGAAACCGCGGTGAGTTCGGCCATGCTACACAGAGCGCCTGACAGGAGGGAGCGCTCTGCGCTATGCACTCACCTCCTGCCGGTCACTCCGGCTTTGCGCCCGCTGGGCCGGAGCGCCCTAAGGTGGCCACTTGTGCCGCCTTATGGATGCGCCGGCGGAGCGCACGGCGACCTATGGCCGCGTGCCCACAGAGGGGGCGCGGCGTGCCACCTGTGGCATGCGTGCCATAGGTTCGCCACCACTGGTATAGGTAGATATGCACAATGTGTAAACTTCACAATAAGAAATGGTTTAGATAAATAATGACGTTTTGTAATTAGAAGTATAGAATACGGGACGGGGCCTGACCAGCATGGTGGACGGTCGCAACATGCAGGAGCTCCCAAGCAAACTACTCACCCAAGCGACGAATCGAGACTCCTGCCGCTTACAACCCGATCCCAAAAGCGACTACACAGTCAAAGCAGGCCGGCGTCCCAGGGGGAACTAGCGGCAAAGCTTGATGCCATCCTGGAAGCCTTCTGGGTGAAGCTGGCGGCTAAAGCGGCAGATCCCCATCGGGATCACACAGCGGCATTCAAAGGTGTCCAGCGCCCACCGCCACCCACCATGAGACCGTCTCGCCGGCAGCGACCAAGTAAACAGAGCATGTCACTCACCCCCAAAAGCCGCCTCATGAGGCGATCAGTGCTATCGGTGGGGGGGCCCACACAGTGGCGATCATGCGGACGACAAGGCATAGCGACACGGAGGGTGGCACAGATGACGACCAACACTGGACCCCCCGTTACCGCTCGGCCTCGCTGGCCCTCACATGTGCCCAAGGCCCTATCACGCAAGTACAAGCACATCTCCAGGCCTTCGCTCAATACTTGCTCCATGAAGAGCTTGCATCCCCTCAAGCCGAGGCATTGGCTGACGGTGTCCCCGAGCACGGTACCCGTGCACATACCCAAGGACTTGCTTCACCTAATAGCTTGTCAGGTTATCATTTAACACCATCGTTAATTTTATGTTCAGTTATTTCTATGTTTGAGACTAATGTCATTGCCTGCATAAATCTATGCCTACACTCGATACACTAACAGGGCAGTGATCCAGGGGTTGAACCTGCAGTCAGTCAGTCTGCCAGCATGTCCACAGCGGATTGTTATATGTCCAACTAATGAGATGCACCATATAGTCTGCACCAGAGAGCCTTACACGCTTGTCACACCTGCAACCATGGCCTCCCCCTAACGCATACACGCGACACTAAAATAGACACTAAAATTTTGACGCAATCTAAACCAATGCAACCATTTTCGCTAAGGTCACAATGCCTTACTCAACATTTAATGCATACCTTACTCTATCTTCATATGAATAACCGATGTATTATCTAATTATACTACTTGAAGAAACATACTAGTAATGTTAAGCGAATCCATAAAACGGAAAATGTGCAAATTTAACGTGCCACTGTTCAACTTGATTATATGTGTATACGCTGTTGTGGCGTCTGAAAAGGCTGTTACCACCTGCACAACAAAAATAAAAAATTATAAAAAGTATAGAATACATTAAAGATGAAATCATTGTCTTGATAATTGGAAGCACTTCTGATACTTTTTATACACATAATTTGGAGGTAATGAACACCCTTCACATTAATAAAGTAATTAGACACAAGAAACACTAGTAGCTGGCTAGCTAATGGAATTTAAGTATTTAGAAAGTTTTTTTTCTGCTTATCCTTCGCTCAATTTTAACAATAAGAACCTGGCAAAGGAATATAAGGGCCAATACTAGGGGGACTAGGCCACTGTTTCTCTATAGAGCAGTAAGGCGTAGACAGGGGTTTTAGTTGACACTCCAAAGAGTTTATTGCCGACAAGTGTGTTAGGGAAATGATTCTCTTGTAGAGAAGAGTATGTTTAGCGAAGGGCAGGGAATGTCTGGTTTTTTTGCTACAGGCAGGCATTTTTAGTCAATCGAATTCATATTTTATGTTAGTTGTGTTTTGTGAAGCAATGAGTTCTCTAGTCCAGTTGACAATAGAATTTGAATAAGTTATAGTCATTAGATTGGCTACAATCAATGCGCAGGGGAGTAATTCGCACTTTAAAAATTTACGATATTAGATTACATGAAAAGAGAACATATCCATATCGGGGCCCTCCAAGAAACTCATTGGACTACGGAGAATAAACATAAATTTAACTCAAAACGTTTTCCCATAGTCATAAGTGCAGCTTTATCTAAAAAGAAATAAAGATGTGTAGCTTTCATTTTTTCTAAAGATATTGCTTTGAAAATAAATCATCAAGTTTTGGATAGTGAAGGCAGATTTATTATTTTAGTGTGTGAAATCAATAATCAGAAATATATGCTAGCTAACGTCTAAGCACCAAATTCCTCACCAATTTCATTTATTAAAAAAGTTCTATATATAAAATTGATCGTATTGAAGTAGGATTAGTCGTAATTATGGGAGATTTTAATTGTATTATAGATCCTGATTTAGATAAATTTTCAGGGGATAAAAAAATATACAATAGGAACTTGGTAAATAATGCTTAACCCCTTAAGGACGCAGAACGGTTCAGGGACGTCCTCAGCATTTTTGCGTTGCCGACCGAGGACGGTCCTGAACCGTCCTAACGGAAAACGGGCGGCGGGAGCGACCGGAGATCACTTCCGCCAAAATCCCTTTGTTACTATCTGCCCGGCATCCCAGGCAGATAGTAACAGCCAATTGCGGCATGTGATCCGCGATCGCTCACAATTGGCTGGTGTCAAAGGGGGTGTTACAAACATTCACTTTGACACTGATCTCTGCCTCTATCCCCTCTGTAGAGTTTTGTGAGGGGAGAGAGACAGAGATTGTAATAGTTTGTTGCAGCAGGTGTCCCGGAGAATATTAAAAAGTATCAGCAGTGAATACAATTCCCATTTTAACCCCTTCCCTGCCAGATCTGTTACAGACAGTGCATTTGTACTGTCTGTATTTTTTTTTTTGCCCTTAAGGGTTAACTTTATTTAAAAAATCTGTGTCTTAGACTGTCTTAGACTGTCTTAGTCTGTCTTAGTCTGTCGTAGTCTGTCGTAGTCAGTCAGTTTCCTTCCCCCAAAACAGGAGTTAGTTTAGGGATTACTGTTTTAGTCTGTTTTAGTGTAAAAAAAAAAAAAAAATATATATATATATATATATATATATATATAGCTGCTAAAAGAAGCTGTGCTTCCCCTGCTACGCCGAATGTGGAGGAGGACTGGGTACCTCCACAGTCAGCTGAGCCCAACATCCCCCCTTTTAGTGCCAACGCAGGCATTAATGTGAATGTGGTTGACCTCTCCCCTATACAATATATGGAGTTATTTTTAGGGGATACCATCTGGGAGGAGATTGTTTCCCAGACTAATGTATATGCTAGCCAATTTATTGAGTAGAATCCAGGTAGCTATACAGTCAGGGAGCATGCTTGGCATCCCACAGATGTCCCTGAACTTAAAAAATTCTGGGATCTTACAATGCTCATGGGGATAATAAAGAAGCCATCAATCCGCTCTTACTGGAGCACCAACCCAATTTGTTCGACTCCTATATACTCCCAAACAATGCCTAGACCAAGATATGAGCTGCTGCTGAGATACTTCCATTTCAACGACAATACCCTCTGTCACCCCAGAGATCACTCCCAATATGATAGGCTTCATAAAATGCGCCCACTGGTAGACCATCTTCAGAACAGATTTTCTGAAGTTTATACTCCTCAAAAAAATGTATCTATTGATGAATCGTTAATGAAATATAAAGGGAGATTAGGGTTCAAACAGTATATCCCCTCAAAGCGGTTTAGGTATGGCATTAAAGTGTACAAACTGTGCAAGAGCGAAAGTGGCTACACATTTGCCTTTCGTGTATATGAGGGGAAAGATGCTCAACTGAACCCTCCTGGCTATCATGACTCTCTGGGGACAAGTGGGAAACTTGTTTGGGACCTACTGATCCCCTTGTTCAATAAGGGTTACCGCTGTTTTTACAGCAGTGTCCACTTGTTTAAAATTCTTTATAGTTTTCAGACACTGGCCTGCGGCACTGTAAGAAGAAATGCCAAGGATTTCCCCAGACCTCTCATAGAGGCCAACTGCTGAACTGCTTGCGCTAAAATTTAAGGACAGGAAGGATGATCACATGCTAACAACCATCCATAACGATGGCATGTCAGACGTCACTGTCCGAGGCAGGGTACCGACAAAACCGGTTTGCGTCAGGGCTTATAACAGGCACATGGGGGGAGCTGATTTGGCTGATCAGCTGATGCAGCCATATCTTATCTTAAGAAAGACAAAAGCCTGGTATAAAAAGGTGGCTATCTACCTGATGCAAGTAGCAACACATAATTCATTTTTACTCTTTAAAAAAATGAATCCAGAAAGAACCACCGTTCTCCAATTTCAGTTCAAGCTGATTTCCACAATAATTTATGGAGATGGTCAAGTTCCAACAACGGTGCCAGAGGAGTCCAGACATTTTATTTTTAAGATACCGCCAACTGCAAAAAAAAAAACAAATCCCCTGAAATGTTGGTCTGTTATAAAAAAAGGGAAAAGGGCAGACACCCCTTTGCACTGTTTTTTTTCTTTTGAAAGCAGCAAATTTTAGTTAGTCAGTTTCCTTCCCCCCAAATCTCCAGTTAGATTCTTTTTGCAGGAGTTAGTTTAGAGAATGCTGCTAAAGGTGCATTTGATACCTGCACATTTGGTTAAAAAAGTTTTATGTTAGTAACATATAACTGGCTTGCCAAAACCAGATGACGTGTGCATAAAAAGCAGACTTATTATTATTATTATGATATTTATAAAGCGCCGTCAAATTCCACAGCGATTTACAATGGGTGGACGAACAGACATATAGTTGTAACCAGACAAGTTGGACACACAGGAACAGAGGGGTTGAGGGCCCTGCTCAATGAGCTTAGATGCTAGAGGGAGTGGGGTAAAATGACACAAAAAGGTAAGGATAGTATTAGACTTGTGACAGTAGCAGAAGAGGAATTCAAAAATTACCACCATGCACGTTCTCTGAAATTTGTTTAGCACAATGGTTGGGGGAAGGATGTGAAAACACCTCATATACAATACCCTGGAATGTCTACTTTATAAAAATATAAACTTTCATGATGTTAACATTAACTGGGGGATGCAAAAATATGACAAACTGAAGATAGGCCAAGCATACCTATATATCAAGTTGAAAAACTGATATGTACAAATCTCGATTGTGGCCTTTTAGCCCCCAAACAACCCAGCAAACCTATGCATGGGTGATATCACTGTACTCAAGATATGTTGCTGAACACATATTGGGGTGTTGTTTGGCAGTGATACATAACAGGATCTGTTAATTCATGCCTAAAGTACAATGTGTTTGTAAAAAAACAAATTACTACCCAAAAGTTTGCCAAAGGCTGGTGGTAGAATTATTGCATGAAAAGTGTTAAACTACCACCATTTAAAATACCCTGAGTTGTCTGCTTTTCAAAAATATATGGTTTGATGGGGGTAAAATACATTGGCCCAAATAGGACATGTGCGCAGGTTGACTACATATCAAAATTCCAAGTTGAAAAATGGATATGCGCACCTGCCAAATGTGGGCTTTTATCCCCCAAACAACCCAACAAGCCTATGCATTGGTGGTATCACTGTACTCAGGAGATGTTGCTGAACACATATTGGGGTGTTGTTTGGCAGTGACACATAACACGATCTGTTAATTCATGCCTAAAGTGCAATGTGTGTGAAAAAAACACACAAAAAATGACTACCTAAATGATTGACAAAGTCTGGTGGTAGAATTAGTGCATGGAAAGTGTTAAAATACCACCATTTGAAATACCCTAGGGTGTCTACTTTCCAAAAATATATGGTTTGGTGGGGGTAAAATACATTGGCCAGCTTTACAAATGTCCCAAATAGGACATGTGCGCAGGTTGACTACATGTCAAAATTCCAAGTTGGAAAATGGATATGCGCACCTGCCAAATGTGGCATTTTAGCCCCCAAACAACTCAACAAGCCTATGCATGGGTGGTATCACTGTACTCGGGAGATGTTGCTGAATATATATTAGTGGTTTTTTTTGCACCAGCACATAACAGGATCTGTAAATTTATACCTGAATTGCAATGTATGTGAAAAAAAAAAAAAAAATACCTATGCGAAGTTTGACTGGTGGTAAAATGGCTAAATAGAAAGTGTCAAAATATCCTTAGATGAATACCCTGGGTTGTCTACTTTAAAAAAATATATACATGTGGAGTGTTTTCCAGAGATTTATGACAGATAATAGTGTTACAATGTCACTATTGATAAATTTTAAAAATGTATGTTTTGAAACCGCCATATCCTACTTGTACCTATAGCCCTATAACTTGCAAAAAAAAATCACGTAAACACTGGGTATTTTTAAACTCAGGAAAAAATTTGAATCTATTTAGCAGTTTTTTTCATTCGCTTTTGTAGATGAGTAAAAGATTTTTCAAGTAAGAGTCAAAAAACATTTATTTTTTTCAATTTTTCATCATATGTTTTCATTTTTTTTAAATTAAATTACATGAGATTATATAAATAATGGTATGTAAAGAAAGCCCCTTTTGTCCTGAAAACAAAAATATATAATTTGTATGGGAACAGTAAATGAGAGAGCGGAAAATTACAGCTAAACAAAAACACCACAAAAGTGTAAAATGAGGCCTGGTCACAAATGTACAACATCGCAAAAACAGTCCAGTCCTTAAGGGGTTAAAGATTCTCTGAAATTATTAAATTGCATGCTCTGTTGGATTGTTGCTGAATCTTCCACCCCAAAGAAAAAGATTTTTTGTGTTTTTCCAAGTCATATAATTCAGATTCAAGAATTGACTTGATATTAAGTGATAGACCTGTAGCAAAAGTTATTAAAAATATATATATCTTTTTTTTCATTCTCTTTTTTATTAAGGTATTTGCAATGTATTCATACATCGAGGTGAAATAAGTGACAAAGGTATGAGCATACAAGTTAAAGATACCAATGCATCTGTTGCATGTTGACAGAGATAAAGATAATAGCCTATTGTTGCACTCATGATCATTAGTGAGTAGAGTATTCCTAATTTTTGTTAGGTTAGTGTTGAGTGGTACTTCAATGTGAAGTCTAGTGTAGAAACATTGAACTTAAGACATCGTTTATGTAGACCCTGACATGTGCGCTGGGCCTGGGGCTATAGTCAGTCGAGGCAGTGTCCGGTTAAAGTATATACTCCTGATCAGCATATCGCAGTGAGGTAATATAGCACTGCATCACTCTTGCAGCAATGTGTTAGTGTGAGCTGTACTCCTCTTGAATAAATTACCCCTAACCTAGGGGATCACAGGAAGGGGGGCAGGAACTTTTCAGCGCAGATTGCACTCTATGGGAAAGGTGGGCACCCTACAGTTTCATGAGCGTTATATGTGGTTACAAACTAGTTGGTAATAGGTGAAACAACAATAAAGAAGACAATTTAATAAAACATAACTCTTGAGGATAAACGATCAACGATAAAAGAAAATATTAATCAGTTGCTCCTTGTCAAAGTTCAGGTTGCTGGGCTCGGTCTTTCACCATTCCTTGGCACAAACAGGGTTATTCGGTCTGGATCCCAATCCTGTGATCTACAGGAGTCAGGCAGGCTGGTTTGCCCGGTTTGAATGTTTAGGGCTTGGAAAAATGCTGGGGCCTCTGCTGTCGGGGATAACTGGTATGTCGCTCCGTTCTTCCCCACACTCAAGGATCTCGGAATCGACCATCTGTATGCGACCCCGGCGGCACGGAGTTGGCGAGTTACTGGGCTCATGGAACGCCTCCATTGGAGAGTGGACCAGTGCAAGTCCTGGTAAAAGGTGAGTGTGGATGATCCGAAGGTGTAGGGTGTTTTTCTCCTTAATGCTGACCAGATGCTGCCTTTATCGAGGAGCATTTGGCATCGTGCTATCACGTCTCCTGGAGCAGGAGCTTTCGGGGAGTTGTTGATACAAAAGCAGCCTTCCAAGACTATCTTCTTGGCCTGTGTTGCCGGTATCAGTGAGGCTACTAGGCGTCGCAGGTAGTGCGGCAACCCATCAGGCAGGACCGCGTCTGCGATGCCTCTAATCTCTATGTTAGCTCTGCGGCTTCCATCATCAGGAATAATAGTTCTCTGGGCTAAGGAGTTTTGATTTTTCTGCATTCGTTGCATGGATTCTCTTATTGTAGAGACTTCTCAATAATTTCCTCCTCAGAAGCCTGGGTTCTAGCTGTCAATGCTTGGACTTCCACTTTGCCAAGGTCGACGTCAGCTGCAAACAATCGCTTAATATTTTGTAGCAGGTTGGCAATGTCTTGTTTTGTGGAGGGCGTATGAGGGTCCTCTTCAGGGGTCTCTGCTGCTGCATTTGGCTGCACTATGGGAACAGGGGCCAGCTCCTCCACTGTTTGTCTGGGCGTTAGTGTGCAGGCCTCAAATTCACCTGGGTGGCCATCTTGTAAGTCACAGGGCACTAAAACATGGTGCCAATATCGCGGTTGTCATTTGCTCCAGCCGGAGGTTGTTTCTGGGATCGGCGGCCCATGTTGTGTGTGCTCTGGATCTGGGCCGGTCGTTCAGCCGAATAGTAGAACAGTTCCTCCAATGACAGGCCCAGTGGCAGCAGTGAGGTTTTAGGCTGCTGAGGGGCGTGAAAGGCCTTAATCTGTCGGCATGGGATTTGTTGGAGGGTAAAGGAAAGGCATCTGGCAATTCCACACCATGTTCGGGAATGGTATATGCTGGGATGGCATCTAGATATTGCATTTTAGTCGAGTAATTTAGGCTAATTCGATCGTTAGTGCCGGACCTCTAAGGCATGCTGTCCATTCAGCTCCCTAGCTAAGCTCCGCCTCCCCATTAAAAAGATTTTTATTACTACAACTTCATGGTCCAATCATAACCCTATAATTATGGATCTAGGTGATCATATTAAAAAACATAGATCAGACTGGAAATTGAATGATTAGGTAGTAAAATTATAAGAATGTTAAATATATTTAACACCAAACAGACTTTTTTTTTTACTTGAAAACAGAGGGAAAGAGGTTTTGGCTCCAGTCACTTAGTGCGCATATAAATGCATTATTCGAGGTCATCTGATAAACTTAACAGCCAAAGAAAAAAACCTTAATAAAGATAAATTTACAAATTTAGCAGAGCTATAAAAATAAACCTAGACGACTTACATTATCAAAACAAATTAGTTCCCTCATTACAACTTTCTAATAAAATATTAGAGATTGAAAAATTAATTAATGATCAATTAATTATCTAGGCTACTAAAGCATTACATTTCCTAAAAAGGAAATGGTACCTTTTAGGGAATAAAGCGGACAAACATATGTCCAATCGTTTAAAAAAAGAAAGAGCAAAGAGAATCATTAATAAAATAATTGAGAATAGTGAAACTTTATTGAGAGCAGAGAAAATTGGCACAGCCTTTATTACATACTATCAAAAATTGTATAATTTAACAAATAGACCTTTAAAAATAGATATAAATATTTTTTTTTCCAAAACTATCACAAATTTTATAATTTCACTTAAATAAACCATTTAAAGGTATAGAATTGACAACGAGTATCGATAAATTAAAATAAAATAAAAACATCTGGGCCGGATGGATTCAATAATTTTTTTTTATAAGTTAATGAAAAATAGCATAAGAACAGATTTGTTGGAAACTTTTAATGATTTGGTTACTCAACTGTAATCCCTAAAGAATTAACGCAGGCAAATATTATTCGGATACCGAAACAAGATAAAGACCCAAAATTTGTTAAAAATTTATCTCTTTGCTGAACATAGATATTAAACTTTATTCTTCTATGTTGGCAGAGAGAATGAAATCAGTAATTGATAGTTTGATTAACGAGATCAAGTTGCATTTATTACGGGTAGATCGTCAATTCATAACATTAGAAGACTTATAGACATTATAGGTGCCATACAGAGACCAGGGACTCACATGCTGACCATTTCGTTATATGCAGAGAAAGCATTTGACAGGGTCAGCTGGGAGTTCCTGTGGTCTTCACTGTCGGCGTATGGAAAGGAAGGCAGATTCCTGGAACATATTAATGCATTGTATACATCTTTGACCGCTATGTGAAGGGTCAGGGTTTTGCGTCGGCCTGATTTCCGTTAACTAACGGAACTAGACAGGGGTGCCCCCTGTCCTCTTTACTCTATATTTTGTAGTTTGGAAACGTTAGCTATAGCCATAAGACAAAATGATGGAATTTTAGATTTTAATCCCAACTCAAGTAACATCAAGATAAATATGTATGTCGACGATGTAATTTTAACATTACTAGATCCGGTTCAATCAGTAACACATTTAATAGAAGTTATAGAAGAATTCTCAAAAGTATCGGGATACAAATTAACTATGGATAAATCAATAATCTTATCTAGCAACATCTCTAATGAAGTTAAAAATAAAATTTAAGACTAATTCAAGTTCCTTTGGATAGATAAAATCACTCTTTTATAAAGTAGTGGATTCCTGTCTGGGTTTTAAGGCACCTGCAAAATAAATGCTAATATTTTTTTTATTATTTTTAGACTATATTCATATTCTCATACATCTTTAAAAAGAGATTTAAAAAAATAGTTAAGGTCGGACTAGAAGATACTCATCGCTTAATGTCTGTATATAAATGTCTGTAATTAAACCTAAAGAATTATGAATTTGTTAAAAATATGTCAATGTGATTTGTATGTGTTGTATAGAAAGCAATGAAAATCAATATATAAAATATATATGTAGATACGAATATCCATTTCACTATCTATCCTAGCTGTTCATATAAGGGTTAATGTGAACCAAGAATACATTTGGAATTGTATCTTCGATTCTCAGAAGAATTTATCTAATATCAGTTACAAGAATGACCATACTGATTTCGAAATGTTCTTGTTAATTGTCCAAGATTTTGGTATTTGAAAATATCTTGTTTTGATCAAATATACATGTGTTATATAACGTAGAATTATAATAAGAAACAGCTGCTCATAACTTGTGAAAAACAATGTCATTGTCACTCCCATATGCTCATTTTTCCCCCTTCCATCCTGCTATGAAAACGGGGTATTAATATAACTGACGAATGAATACAATTTGAATTGGTTATTGAACACGTCTCTGCTATTCATTTCCAATTTCCAGAGCTCTGAATGAGTTGGCAAATATCCATCATCCACAAAGGGCCCAGGCTGATTTTATCCCCAACAAACTGGTGTCAGAAGTTTTTGGGTGCAACTGGGAACGGAATTACAGGTAAGAGGATCTTTAACCCCTTGGGGACACAACTTCTGGAATAAAAGGGAATCATGACGGAATATTTCTGTCGTGTGTCCTTAACCCCTAAGGACCAAACTTCTGGAATAAAAGGGAATCATGACATGTCACACATGTCATGTGTCCTTAAGGGGTTAAGGGGTTGGGGACCTTTACCTGCTTCTGCAATCCTCCCACACATTGCATTTCTTGTTTTAATGGGGTTTTTCACGATTTAAATTTTTAAAGGGGATTTTCACTGCATAATGTCTTTGGTAGACATGTTTTTTTTTAAGTCTTAGGTAGACTTCTATTACTCCTTGGGTTGGAGGAAAGTCTAGACAATTCCTCTTAGGTAGAGGTTCACCTTTGGCTGGTGGTTAGGTGATTTTCAAGCCTTTGGCAGGCTGTCATTTCATGTGATGTAATGTACACGTACAGGTGGGTTGCAGACTAAAATGGGTTAAAAAAAAAAAGGGGTTAAAAGGGAATATTGTTTAAACCCGGTATGATGGATGTTTGGCATTACTCCGGCTTGCTACTTTATGTGCTATTTTATGATGTGCAATGCTGATTTTAAGCATAAAGTCTTAATTGAGGAAATGTATAAAGTACATGTAAAGGTGATGATGAATAAAAAAAAAATTTAAAAAAATTAGAGGTTATTTAAGGGGGCTACAAAGTCTAGAACTAACATGATTTCTCTGCATGTATGTTTGCATAATGAGCCCTTCATTTTTATACTTGGACAAAAGTACTATAATCCCACTACACTTTTTCATGAGAGTGGGATGTATGATTGTTTATATGATGAGCCCTTTATTTTCATATTGGGACAAAAAGTCACTTCATTCAAAACGTCAAACACCACATTCTTTCTGCCCTGTGTGTTTGTTGCAGAGAATTTATGTTGTAAATTTAGATGATTATAAATTAGAGAGCAAAATTTATATTTTCAGCGGTCCAACACATGCTTCATTTTGTGCTGTAAGCTAGCTTGTAGTATTCCAGCTGAGATTTTATTGATTGTGACCCAAACTGTGCAGAAGTGGGTTTGAATTTTTGGTCATGGAATGTAGGATCAGAAAACCATGGACAAAGGTTTTTACCTGTGTTGATATGACTTTTGGGAACTCAAACTGACCGGTCAAAATTTTGCCATGCCTTTAACATGGAGTAGTATAAATATTTTGAGTCTTTGAGAGTTCTGACAAATGCAGGTGATACCATGTCTGTGTAATTTGGTCCAAATGTTCTATAAGCGTATAAGAGAGAAATTCTATTGACAGGGTACATATGTTGCAACTGGTTAATGCAAGTGTTATACAAATGTTTAAGTCAAACGCGTTATATGGCCGTACGGGATCCCTTCTTTAAAAAGAAAAAATAAACCCTTTGGTACCAGAACTCTTAAATAAATTTCATACAAACTAAAATTGGTATACCTTACAATAATATGTTCTGAATACAGCTGTTAAAAGTTTATTCTGTGTGAATGGGGATTGTGATAAATGTGTGTTTTGGGTACTCATTTTAAAGTGTGCAGTTTAATTGGCATGTATGTTAATGGGTATTTTGCTGTGTTATTTTAAATTATATTTGAATAAGTTTGTCTCAGTATTGATACAGATGGAAATGGCAGCATAATAATCTATTAAATAACTGATTTATTATTGAATACTAGTGCAAGAGCAATATGAGTTGTAGTCTTAAGAAAGAAAAAAAGGAGGGAGGCTGTTTTTGTAAGTTTTAGCTGATTTCCAAAATTCTGTTGCAATAATGGACTTTTTGCCCAAATTCGACTTTCCTGTCCAGTTGCCAGGTGCTCTGATCTAATCTTAAAGCAATACTGCTTGCATAGTTTGCAGACATGCATAATGCACAAACATGGGAACCTACATTACATTTATTAATTTATTTTGGATTGAGTTAATTACCTGTCCATGAATATGCTTTTTGTATTGGCATGTCTGCTGAATATCTGCTACATTCGTTATTTTCTGTGTTATAAGATGATGTATGATATTACAATGAGTATGAAGAATATTTAAAGAATATTTGCATGTCATTAACGCAAGCCTTTAGTGTCTTTTTACAACAGATTTAAAAAAACGCTGATCAGCCGACAAGAAAGGGGCCCCTGAGAAAGAAGAAAAAAAAAATCATCTGCTTTTCACAATCGTGGATCCACGTTCCCAATTTTAAATGGCTCTCTCTCTCTCTCCGTATTATTAGGGGAGTATTTAGAGTTAACTCTACTTTTAAAGTGCATTGCATTATTTAAGTCAAAGAAAAAGAAAAATGTGTTATCTTTAACATAAACAATTGTTATGTTATATGGTTATATAACAAGAAAAATTATGGATGTATAGGATAGGTTTTTTTTTTCCAAGATTAAGATTAATCTAGTATGCCTCATTGATTATAGCAAAATAGTGAAATAGTATTTTTAATAGAGATCAGATAATTTCTTTTGAGGCAATTCTAGACTACTGTATTATATTTGTATTGGTATATTTAAAGCATTTTGTAGACCCAGAAGAGAATAAATAATATAATAAATATAAAAGGAACCATACTATGGGAAGAGGTCACCCTATTAACTCGCTAAGGGGTTAAACTCATTTTTGATAAGCATATAAAATTTAGTTTTAGTGGTTAGAATTTTTGATACTCAATTTGAACTCAATTGAAGTATTACAACCATATCCTTGCAGGTATGGGAAACAGCTGCAATATGAGTTTAATATTTTCAATATATTAGTGTTTTCAATGTATTCTGACAATGGAAAATACCTAACCGCATGTCTGCATTACACCTATGACCCAGACTGTCAGTACTGCAAACCCTATATGAAGGCTCTGCTTTCACTGTTTATGTATACACCCCTAGAAAACTGTGCTATACATGCACAATAAATCTTCAAAAGCTTATTAATATTATATCTGTGTGGTACACAAAGAGGTGTACACAAAGAGGGGATGTGAGTTAGGTAATCTCGACCTGTGTGAGGTAATCTCGACCTGCATATGGAATATGCTTCCTCCTTGTTCACTTTTGGTCAAACTGTTGGTCTGTGACTGGCCCTCTCTGACCCCAAGTGAATTTCTTGGGAAGATTCATGAGAAAGATACAGCAGGTTGTTTTGATATAAAGAAAGAGGGAAAAGTATGTTGTATCGGTCACAAAGGATTGTGATCTTAAGCAGGCGAGACAAGGACATTTGGGAGGTGATAGGAGATTGAATCAGAAAAGTTTTAGAGGCAGAGGTAGAGGATTTGATCAAAGGATCTAACTTTTGTAGAGGTGGTAACTTCAGCACTGTTTTAATTGTGGATAGCAGGGGTTCACCCCAAGGTGCTTGTGGTGAACCCGGTTCTCCCGGTCAAGCTGGCCCCACTGGTATTGCTGGTGTCTCTGGCTTCCCTGGTGCCTGTGGTGCTCCTGGACCTCAAGGCCCGAGAGGTTCCCCTGGACCTAAGGGTAACAATGGTGAACCTGGTGCTCAGGGAGTACCTGGCCCAGCTGGCATTCAAGGACCCTGGCAGGTTCCTCAATACCAACCACAACTTCCAAGCTATACCCACACCCAACAACCTCAGCCTAATACACAGATGGTTCATGTTTTTAATACTTTATATATAGTTTTGAGTGATAAAACAGTATTAATGCTGGCTCTTAGAGGATGTACAAGCTGAAGTTTGGACCTAGACATTGTTTGCATAGGCTGCGCAATGTGAAATAACTAAAATAAAATAGGATAATTATAAGTTTGCTTAGTCAATTTGTAATGTGGCATAATAGAGGCATCTGCAATAAAATAAGTGGGTTTCCAGGACCTGACAAGTGAGGGCAACTTAATATAACATATGTCTACAGTTTGCTGTCCCTTCCTTATCAGAGGCCACTTGCAACCTTAACACAGCAAGACAACTCTTCCGAAACCTGTATTAAACAAAGCACTTTAGAACAATAGTAATTCATTTTGTTTCTCCTATTTCATTCCTAGTTGTTCTGAAAAAAAATATATATATTGTTTAAGTGGGATAACTGTATGGAGGTTCCACCATGTATTAAAACATGATCACACACATACAGAACTGGTGGCTTTTTGGACATCGGGATCTATAAAAGGTTTCGGTTTCCAAAGATGTTGTCAGGGTCCACTAAATTTCTGACAGACTTCAGCATTCCAATTTTATTAAAGTAATTAATTGGGATTATCAAATCAAGGTTTAAATTTAAGAACAGAATTTTATTAGGAATTATACCAATATGTATATGTTAGTGTTTTAGTACTCAACAAGCATTTATATAGAATTAGTGCTTCTCTCATCCATACAAAGGCATTTTAAAGGGAAATTATGTATTAAAATTTTATAAAGGACAAATTCAATAAATCATAAGCATAACTGAGAGACGTACATGTTACACTAGTTAAGGGTTTAACTTTAGTCTCTAATTTGAGTTTAGCCTAGATAATTAATTTATTGATGTCGTACTGATCCTTGTGTTTGTATGATTATAGAGACCGTACTGGAGTATTTGTGCCGCCTGATATTTGGGACTACACAACAATCTCTCTGGCTGACATCCAGCAAACAGAAGACTTAAGAACTATGTGGAAGCTGACATTGTCTTGTTGTCAGCCATATTGCTACCCTTAGCTATGTTATGGTGTCTAAGATTATGGAACAAAGTTTATGGTGTCTAAGATTCTTTATACTCCTTGAAAGACTTATAATATTTTTCTGGACTATGCTGGACTATTTAACTATTTTGTTATTTTTATTTTTGTAGAGTTAGCCGGAGAGAGAGGAAGTGTTAGCTTACTCAGGCATGGATGTACTATGTGTGTCATTGATGTATGTTAAGTGTACCAAGGATGGATTCCAATGTATTAAGTGTGGATATGACTGGACCATCGAAATAGGGATTTGATTAGGAGGTATAGGACGCAAGGTCATAATTGGGATTATTGTTAGAATTGCAAACTGATAATAAGGTATCTCATGAATTAATATGTAAGTGGGCCTTTTCAAACTAATCAAGAAGTGTTTCCCAACCCCGATACTCGAGCTATTTACTTACAAGTGCGGGTTTTATAAGTCACTAATGCCGTCAACGTGAAGGGATGACATGTCTATACAGTCATGGCCCTCACTGAGGGTTTTCCAGATGTGCTTTTTTCTTCAAATATGAGTTTTTGCCACTGGGTTTTTTGACCTGGCCCGAGTTCACTGGGTGGACTGGTAATCCAAGACCCTGGGCCAAAGAGGGGGAATAGATATTGTTCCCATTTTGACTATATGTGTTTACGTTGTGAATTATAATAATAATATTCCCGTTGTTGGGAATAATACACTTTGCCTGTTTTGATCCAAGGCTCAAGTTACAGATAACATGATGTGCAGTCTGTTTAAAATTGGTTAACATGTCAGCTGTTTGAAATATTTAACTTGTACACTTAAAAGATGTATTCAACAGATAATTGAAAAAGCTGAAAATTGACAGCTCGAACTCCTCTTAAAGGGAAAACCTAAGGCACAGAGCAAATGGGGGAAATCGAGGTGAAGAAATAACGAAAGTCCCGCAGGCGTGATTAGCACGTCTGAATATACCTCCTTTCGTTTCTCTGCCGCAGGCCTCCCATGGATATTTTCCGTAAGGTAGATCATGATATGATCTAAGAGGGGGACTGTAGATACGAATATCCATTTCACTATCTATCCTAGCTGTTCATATAAGGGTTAATGTGAACCAAGATAACATTTGGAATTGTATCTTCGATTCTCGGAAGAATTTATCTAATATCATTTACGAGAATGACCATACTGATTTCGAAATGTTCTTGTTAATTGTCCAAGATTTTGGTATTTGAAAATATCTTGTTTTGATCAAATATACATGTGTTATATAACGTAGAATTATAATAAGAAACAGCTGCTCATAACTTGTGAAAAACAATGTCATTGTCACGCCCCTATTGCTCATTTTTCCCCCTCCCATCCTGCTATGAAAACGGGGTATTAATATAACAATACAATTTGAATTGGTTATTGAACACGTCTCTGCTATTCATTTCCAATTTCCAGAGCTCTGAATGAGTTGGCAAATATCCATCATCCACAAAGGGCCTGGGCTGATATTATCCCCAACAATATACAAAAAAAAAATTCTTCCAGAAAATACCATCATCCGGAGGGGACTATTGTCATAAGCAACTCTCTAAGACACTGCTTATTAATGTAACCCAAAATAACAGCAATATCTGCCTCTCAGGAGAAATGCTAGAAGTCTTCTAAAAACAGGGGCAAAAAAAGCACAGAGGATGGCGATATCCTGGTATAGATTTAAGCAAGGGTGAAGATACTTGTATTACAAAGGTTATATAAAGATGAACTGAAGGTTGCAAAAACTCTACTTTAATTTCAGTGGATTGTTAATGAAAACTTTCTGTGTTTTATATAGTGCACATATATTGTGGAAAATTAGAAGAGTCAATAAGAATAAAAGTAAAAAGCCTTAGAAATATCATGCTGTTCATTCATATTATGTAAAGATTAATAAAATAATATTATAGAATGGTGATAGTACTAGACCTTTCAATTTGCATTATTCCAAAAATATTCATGGGATGTATGATGTTATGTCTAGAATAAGAACAACATGGTGCCACAGGGTTAACCCACCCTCTAGTATTCTTATCCCTAAATCAGATAGGCAAATGCAGAGGTCTGCTTCCACACAAGCTGAATGGCTAGTAAGGGGCTTGGTTCTAAGCATGCAGAGAGCCTTGAGCTGTAGTGTTTATGGTTCTTATAGGGCCCTAAAAATATTCTATATCTAAATATCTTTTGATTTCCACATTTGTTAGTAATGTCTCTAGAATAATTTTCTACATATTTATTTTTACTTTCCCTTATCACAGTCAACGGGTTCTGTGGAAAAACGGCAAATTTAATTCAGTGCAATTCTTAACCCCTTTATTTTTGCAGCTGTCCTACAGCGTACCTGCTTTCCATCCATCTGGTGGGACAATTAGTGAGATGGAGAAGTGGAAGTAATGCAGAACAGTAGGAGACTGCTGTTGAAAAGTAAAGAGTGAAAAAAGGCTGAGATGCAATTGTTTCTTTACAGCTGAATGTGCTAGGAAACTGAGCTAGTTTAATTAAATGTTACGCTTTTGGCCATATTTTTTCAATATGGGACGGAGAACAAATGTCTTAGTAATAAACCGTGGAAAGCGATTACTAAAAGGTTTAAACTGCTATTTGTCATGTAATATGAAACACTGCAAGTGTAAAAACTGTTCTTGGAATAAAAATCAAAGCACAGAGAAGACCAGGAAGGCAAACATATAAAAAAACACTATATTCAGCTGCCTTACTCCTATAGTGAAATGGAACGAGGCGTTGTACGTTGGGGAACTTTCTCTCTATGAACTGGATTGTTTTTCTAGAGATAAGTTTAACCCTGTTCATTAAGAGACACATCTAAAATTGATGAGGAAAATGCTATTTAGCTAGCAGCAAATAAAAATCAAATAAAAATCTAGAATACTAGAATGGAATAGATCAGTCTTCTGATCTCGGTCCTCCTTTTCTTCTTTTTTTGTGCTTTTCAACAATTAGGGTTACCCCCTTTAGGAGTATTCTTTTATTACTAAGCTCATTTATGGTCTTTCTTCTAATAATGAGCTTGCCAGTGTAGTGGCATCATGGGTTTGTTGAACATTAATTGAAATGGATCAAATAGCAAAAATAAAAAAAAATAATGTTTTTTGATGTGTCATCATATTATTCATCAATAGTGATGTCCCAAACGGTTCGCCGAACGGTTCGCCACGGACGGCGAACATAAACATAAACTTTGACCCTGTACCTCACAGTCAGCAGACACATTCCAGGAGGTGGGAGGGTCTGGGAGGGAGGGTCTGCTGCTGATTGGCTGGAATGTGTCTGCTGACTGTGAGGTACAGGGTCAAAGTTTATGTTTATGTTCGCCATCTGTGGCGAACCGTTCGGCGAACCGTTTGGGACATCACTATTAATCAACAATCGAACAATCACCAAACAATAGATGTGTACCTAAGATTTGTAGCAGAGGTCAGTTCTTTGTTATACTTCTTCCCACTAATAAACATTTATTGAAGTTTCATAAATCCAAACATAAACAGAGCAAAAGAAATAAAAGAATAAGGTGTTGGTTTCCATTTCTACAGCAGTGCTTAAAGTAGTCATTACAAGATAAAAAGTGTACAGTCATTTTCCTAAACACCAATGTCACAAAATGTCAGATCAGCAAGACACAATCAATACATAATAAATGGAAACCTAGCAACAAAGAGAAAAGACAGTAGAAATACACAAAGAAAGACACAACAAACAAGACAAAATAGAAACAAAATAAAGATACAAAAACAGATATAGAGACATCCTTATACAAATTATATACAGTATTATTAATAATCACGTAGTTGAAATAGTACTAGTCAGGAATAGAGATATGTTTGAAGGGGCAGAAGAAATCTCCTCCCAGGTTCCCCATTTCTGTTATAGGACCTCATAGTTTAATCACCTGATAACCATATTTTACCAGTTTTTTTTATTAATATCAAGGGTAAAAAGCACATTACCAAAAGAGGGACTATAAGCTGATCTCCAATGCCGTGCCAGATTCTGATTATGGTCTAGACAGGAAATGGGGTAATAATAGCAATTGGACCATACCCAGGCATGGGGCTATAGGAATCTGGGTCACTGCGGAGAGATGGACAAACAATGTATGCCAAAGCGGGAGGAACTTAGGGCAGTCCCATTAGTTGTAACTATAGGAACCAGTGAGACCACAGTTACACCAGCACAGAGCTGAATAATAGGAGTGAATTTGTACTAGTTTGGCTAGAATTAAGTACCATCTAGGAATAATATTTTGTATATTTTCTAAGTGGGTAGTACAGTAAGTAAGCCCCAGTAAGTTGTCATGAGACTGCTCCTAATTCTCATCAGAATATGTACTATGCAATTATTTTTCCCAATTCAGCCTATAATAGGACTTAGAGGGGATATGCCTAAGAATCAAAAAGTATGTAGACATGCTGTATCTGGCAAATATATGTATATGAGCAAAGGTCAGAATGGGAGGAATATGGCTAAAGTATAAAGAATCTCCATTAAGTAGGAAATCGCAAACCTGAAAAGAAATCTTTGAAAAATAAATTAGAGGTTTGGCACAAATCCTGAAAGGAACACAAATAATTATTGGCACACAAATTTGTCAGTGAAAAGAGCACATGGAGTACCAGCTATCATCTGGGACAGGTAAGGAAATGTATGGATCTGGATATCTCATATGTGTAAGGAGTATTGGAAGCCTGGCAAAAGAGTGAGGTATAGGATGGAGGTAAACAGGTGTTTTAGACAGATGACATATACACCAGGGAGAAATTTGTTTATCCTCCATATCAATCCATGGAACAAGACTGAAAGGAGCAAAACATTACATACACTGTGATAAAATCAAAGCTTTGTGTTATGTACATATACGGCATACCAAGCATGCCACACCATCTGGATAAATACATTAGGTTTCAAGGAATCTTCCTGGCTTTGCAAAATCTAAATACCTATTATTGCCTCTCTGTATAGAAAATTAATGTGTTTTAGGAATTCTAACCACTAAAGAAGCAATATGACTGTTTGGCTATTTATAGCAAAACAGAGATTGCAGATGCACCTCACTCCATAGAAGTGCCTGGGAGACAGATAAATTTACTTTATGGTAGGAGAAATTGCTAAATTCCAATAATGTATCCTGCGCCAAGGGCTACAACAAAAATGTAAAAATGGGGAAAGTGGGCAACCTTGTTGGGAGCCATTAGAGATAGATAAAATGGTGTAAATGAACCCAGATTGAAGGACAGAAATATAATTGTTTAATCTGCCCAGAACCTCCCACATTTAGCCTCAATGCATCCTGCAACATGACTTTTCAGCACCTAGAGAAAAGAGCAGGCAAGAGCAAGATATCTGAAGGTAACCATGGACAATATTAATAAACTGCTGCATGATATCAGAAGCCTGTCAATATGGTACAAACCCGACTTGATCAAGGTGCAGAATGTAAGGAATTAAATGAATGATGTGGCTTGTCAAAATCATTGCATGTATTTCAATGTCTGAATTTAATAACAAAATAGGGCAACAGTTCTGCAAGAACTCAATGGGAACTGACTGTTCAGTGATGTAACAATTAAATGAAGAACACAAATGAGGGGAAACAATGGAAGAACATGTTTTATGATATGGGCCTAATAGCCAATCAGTACCTGGGTGTTTGTGAGGTTTTAAAGTTTTAATGACAGGAGCAGTAGTCTTGGTGCTAATTAGAGCTATGAGACTTACTAATTTGAAGGAGGTGCAATTTATGAAGGACTGCATGAATATCAATAAGAGAAGGTTCATGCTGGGACAAATCATGCTGAAAATGATAAAATTTGGTATAAAAGTTAGTAAAAAAAAGTTTTGACCTATGTGCTCTACGTTTATGAGCAAATGACGCTTTATTGCTGTTACTCTAGTAATATTGTTTAGTGCATGTAAAGCAAATTTAGTCGTTTGGTGTTGTAATTTAGAGCGTTCCACGTTCAAAATCTTAATTTGCTCAGATAATGTGAAGAATACACTAAATCAGCTTGTATGTGTGAAATCGTTTACAAGCGGTCTCTTTTAAGAGGGATATTTAATAAAACCTCAAAAGCATGCCCTGTGTGCATTCTAGAAAGTATTATGAGAAACGTACAGGCTTGTATTAATAATACAACATTCAGTAAGAAAAGATACAACATTATCTTCATGTGCCTTCATTAACAGAGAGAAGAATAGAGGAATGATCTGACCAGTGAACTGACAAAAGTCGTAAGCAACTGCCCTCTAAAGCAGATGCTTGTTGACCTGAAAATCATTTAAAAGGGAGTAACTATTGTGTCTATGCATAAAAAGTATAATCTCTTGACAAGGGATTAATACTTCTCCACACATCAATCAGCTCATAGGAAAGGCACAGAGTTCAAAAGGAGGACTCCACCGAGGAAAGGTAATTAACAGTAGAGTTAGCAGGCTGTGCTGAAGTTGCTAAGGTATCCATTTTTGGATTGGGGAAAAATTAAAATCTCAAAACAGCAGAATTACCCATGTGATTTAGAGTGAACTGTAGCAAAAAGAATCTTGAGGAAATGAAGTTGTTTAGTGTTGAGAGCATATAAATTAACTAGTATTTTTGGATACATTTTTCAAATGATCTTTTTTTGCAGATAAAAAAATTATTACCATATACAAAACATTAAAACATTTTTCAAAATATGAAATCTTTCTAAAGATTTACCCTAAAATAGGAAATAATTTGAAAGGCTTATCCAAAAATATTCAAAGAACACTATAGAGTCATGAACACAAACATGTATTCCTGACCCTATAGTGTTAAAACCGCAATCTAGCCTGCCTGGCCCCACCCTTGCCATCCTTAAATATTGTAAAATCTTACTTTTAAAGTCTGCAGCTGGCCATGCCCCTGAACTGCCTGCTTGACTGACATCATCAGAAGTGATTATCTGAGCCAATCACAATGCTTTCCCATAGGATTGACTGAGACTGTGAAGTAGGCAGATCGGGGCAGAACCAGAACAAGCCAAACAGCCTTGGCCAATCAGCATCTCCTCATAGAGATGCATTAAATCAATGTATTTCTATGGGGAAAGTTCAGTGGCTGCATGCAGAGGGAGGAGACACTGAATGGCAGTGCTACACAGCCCAAGGAAGCAACACTAGTAGCCATCTGAGGAGTGGCCACTGGAGGTCAGGGATAGGCAACCTTCGGCACTCCAGATGTTGTGGACTACATCCCCCATAATGCTTTTACACCCATAATGCTGGCAAAGCATCATGGGAGGTGTAGTCCAAAACATCTGCAGTGTTGAAGGATGCCTATGCCTGCCCTAGGCTCTAATGTAAACACAGCATTTTCTCTGAAAAGACAGTGTGTACCGCAAAAAGCTTGAAGGGAATAGTTATACTCACCAGAACAAATACAATAAGCTGTAGTTGTTTTGGTGGCTAAAGTGTCCCTTTAAATCAGGGCCTTAGTTGGGGCAGTGAAATGTAAATTAGTGGGACAATTGGGTGAAGTTTGTTAAAGGACCACTCTAGGCACCCAGACCACTTCAGCTTAATGAAGTGGTCTGGGTGCCAGGTCCTTCTAGGGTTAACCCATTTTTTCATAATTATAGCAGTTTCAGAGAAACTGCTATAAGCCTATTAATCCTCCTTGTCTCATTGGCTGAGGCGCTTGCGTGCTTCTCACTGTGAAAATCACAGTGAAGCACGCCAGCGTCCATAGGAAAGCATTGTAAATGCTTTCCTATGAGACCGGCTGAATGCGCGGAGCTCTCAGCGCTGGAAAAAGTAAGTTTTTACCCCTTTCCCCTTCCAGAGCCGGGAGGGGGACCCTGAGGGTGGGGGCACCCTCAGGGCACTATAGTGCCAGGAAAACGAGTATGTTTTCCTGGCACTATAGTGGTCCTTTAAGGATGTTTCAGAAGGGCAAAGTGAGTCTCCTATAAACACACCACCAGGTTTCAATGTATGCAGTCCTGAACAACTGGTGTCTCTTTAACAGGAAATTTAGGCCCTTCACACTTAAAGAAAAGACTCTTCAGTGACAGTGGAAAAGTTTAACAAGGGAAAATGGATATGTAATGGTGAACTGAAATGCACAAGGGAATAAGGAACCTCCCAGAAACTGACTCACTGTCCACTCCTCTCATACACCATAACATAGGGTACTATCCACATGCATGGTACTAAGCAGAAGCAGAAGCAAAACAGCTCTAAAATACCATAACTCTCAACTCCAGTGTCCTGCGAATCGAGATACTGGTGGGAGGGAGGAAAAGGGGCTGGGTCAATAATGTGATCATGTAACTAAATCCGCCCCAATGTACAGACCAACTGATAAAGGGCTTGGGTCTGCCCAAGTTAATAGCAGGTCAGCCTGATGTGAATGGGAGCCACACTGCCTGTCCATCATGGAGCCTAGCCCACTGAGGGCAGACCCTATAGGGAGCACTGTTTCAGTACTCCTTGCAGAGTCCTAGTGCCCAAATAAAAGTTGGGGGCAGTTCCTTGGTGTCCCCAAAAGAGAACATCAGGGAACTAAGACGGGACAGGAGCTAAAAATCTTGATTGTTCTACCGATTTCGGGATGGTTGGGTGGCATGCAATACTAGTAATAAAATGTTGGCATACCTGATATAAAAGTATAAAGAAAGGCACTGGGTAATATGTTACATATTTAAAGGAGCACCATAACATAAAAAGAAACCAAAGAAAGTATATACAATGAAATGAAAAAAAGTGCAAAAGCCAGCAAAATACCATATTGCATTGAGTCAACATAGTTATAATGGTAATACAAAAAAGGCAATAAACAGAGATTTACAATTCAGGTGCCGGTAGGCACAGGATTCTAACGTTACCTCTCATCCGCTTCCCAAAACAAGACACATAAAGTGAGTTTAATGAATTTATTAACTGGGCATTCGAGGCATAAAAAACATCTAAAACAGATATTTCCACTGCCTGTGTACATGTGTAAGTATGTGTATATTTCTGCTTGTAATGTATAATGTTTGAATGTGTGAGTATAGTGAGTGTATGCAGCTGTGAATATGCATACAGGCTTAAAGATAAGACAAGCAGGGGCGGACTGACCGGTCGGGCACTTCGGACACCGTCCGAGGGCCCGGCCGGGAGGGGGGCATGACAGAGAGACATGCTCCTCCTCCTCCTTCTTCTTCAGTGTTAGTGAGAGGAATGCTGCCGGACCGGCGAGGCTGCCAAAAGGAGCATGACAGAGAGACATGCTCCTCCTCCTCCTTCTTCTTCAGTGTTAGTGAGAGGAATGCCGCCGGACCGGCGAGGCTGCCACCCGGTCCGGCGGCTGCAGCATGAAATGCGGCAGGCCCCCTCTGACTTTAGTAAGAGGGGGGAACAGAGATATGGGGAGGGGGAGAAAGAGGGGGGGAGATGGGGAGGGGGGAGAAAGAGGGGGAGAGATGGGAGGGGGGGGAGGAGGAAAGGGGGGAACAGAGATATGGGGAGGGGGGAGAAAGAGGGGGAGAGATGGGAGGGGGAGAAAAGAGGGGGGGAACAGAGAGATGGGAGGGGGGGAGAAAGAAGGGGGGAGATGGGGAGGGGGGAGAAAGAGGGGGGAACAGAGAGATGGGGAGGGGGGAGAAAGGGGGGGGCACAAAGAGATGGGGAGAAAGAGAGGGAAGAATGAGACACAAGGGGAGACAGAGACAGAGAGGGAAGAATGAGACACGGGGAGAAAGAGGGGGAATAGAGAGATGGGGAGGGGGAGAAAGAGACAGAGAGGGAAGAATGAGACACAAGGAAGAGAGATGGGGAGGGGGGAGACAGAGAGGGAAGAATGAGACACGGGGAGAAAGAGGGGGAATAGAGAGATGGGGAGGGGGAGAAAGAGACAGAGAGGGAAGAATGAGACACAGGGGGAATAGAGAGATGGGGAGGGGGGAGACAGAGAGGGAAGAATGAGACACGGGGAGAAAGAGGGGGAATAGAGAGTTGGGGGAGGGGGGAGAAAGAGAGGGAAGAATGCCCCCCCTCCCCTGTCCGCAGGCACCGTGCGGGCAGGGGAGGAAGAGAGGACCTGGGAGCTCACCCTGCAGCTCCTCTGGGTCCTTCTTGCGCGAGCACAGAGCGTTGCCGCGGTTACCATGGCAACGTTACTGCTCTTGCGAGAGTCAACTCTAGCCCTGGAGCTACGGGCTAGAGTTCACTCTCAACACTGTAACCCCCATGGATTCCTGGTGGTCGCAGTGGTGAGAGTGAACTCTAGCTCCATAAACACACTGCCCCCACACACACACCATACACATTCACACACTGCCCCCATACACACCATACACATTTACACACATTGCCTCACACACACACATACACTGCCCACCCATATACACACAGATCCCCATACACAGCCCCCATACTAACATTGCCACACACATACACTGCCCACACACCCTACACATTCACACACTACACCCCCACACACACACTGAACCTTTCACACACATTGCACCACTGCTCCTATTCCCTACTACAGCCTCATATCCCAGCAGACCCCAGGTAAGTTGTCAAACTGTTCTTAAACGGTTTGACTACTTACTCTGGAGCAGTAGTGGTTATTGTGCATGGATTATTTCTTTAAATAATCTACAAGTGCCCCAGTAGCCAGCCAGCCAACCCACAGGCTGGCCAGTAAGCCAGCCCACAGGCCAGTAGCCAGCCCACAGGCCTACAGCAAGCCACAGGCTTACAGCCAGCAAGCCACAGCCTGCCAGCTGCAGCCTGCCAGCCGCAGTCAGCAAGCCCACAGCCTGCCGGCAGTAGCCAGCAAGCCCACAGCCTAGCCCAGCCTGCCAGCCGCAGCCAGCAAGCCCACAGACTGCCAGCCAGCAACAGTAATTAAGGTAAGAGGAGCCAACTTGGCTTAGGTATCAGCGAGCTATGTTGTGTTGCTATATTGTGAATAGGAACCAGAGTGTTGGAGAGACCACCCTCCAGGCCCCATTAGACTCTAGCCTCTGCTAGAAATCCCCTCCATGGCCCATTAGCCCTCAATTGTAGTTTCTACTGGGGCCTGGAGGCGACTGTTTCCAGCAGGGGATATCTAATGGACGCTGAGATGGCCTCTGTTAGAAAGACCCCCTTCCAAGCCTTTTAGACTCCATTGTAGTCTCTAATGGGGCTTGGAGGGGATTCTTTCTAACACACTCTCTAAAGGACACTGAGATAGCCTCCGCTAGAAAGACCCCCCTCCATGGCCCATTAGCCCTCAATTGTAGTCTCTACTGGGGCCTTGAAGGGCTTATTGCCCTGGAGGCGGTGCATGGAGGCGGGACAAGGGTGGCGCTTGCTGCAGAGTATGGGTGGGGCCTGTAAGGGGGCCCTTGATTTATTTTGCCCGGGGGCCCTGAGGGTTCTCAGTCCGCCCCTGAACACAAGTAGTAGCTAGGACTAGATTACATAGGTGTGTGTGTGTGTGTGTGTCTGCCTGTGTTAGTGTGTGTGTGTGTGACTGACTGCCTGCCTGCCTGCCTGTAACTGTGTGTGTGCGTGACTGTCTTCCTGTGACTGTGTGTATGTGTGACTGCCTTTAACTGTCGCACTTGCTGTGGGGTGGTTCACCTGTTAATAAAAATACCATCCTTACTACTAGAGTGTTTACTCTTTTGGAATATTTGCCTGTAACTGTGTGTGTGTGTGTGTGTGTAACTGGCTGCCTGTAACTGTGTGTGTGTGTGCGACTGCCTGCCTGTAACTGTGTGTGTGAGACTGTTTGGCTGTAACTGTGTGTGTGTGTGACTGTCTGCCTGTGATTGGGGATGCTGCCTGTAACTTTGTGTGTGTGTGTGTGTGTGACTATCTGCCTGTGACTGTGTGCATGTGACTGTCTGCTTGTAATTGTATGTGTGACTGTCTGTAACTGTTTGTGTCACTCTCTGCCTGTAACTGTGTGTGTGACTGTGTGTGAGTGACTATGTGCCCTGGACTGAACTCTGAAGACTGTTGCCAATATTGTTGTGTAAAAAAATTAATTCTATTGTAAGGGCCTGAGCAGGTGCTTTAGAGGGAAAGGCAGGATATTGTGGGAATGAGGGATGCGTGTGTTTTATCGAAGGGGGGTGTAGGGGTTTGTAGAATGGGGACAGGACATGTATTTTGTAGAACAGCAGGCAGGAGAGGGGTTTTGTACAATGGGGTAGGCATGGTTTTTCCAAAATGTACACATTTGTGCAATTTTTAAAAATGAAAACATTAAAAATATTGCAGGTATTTTTTTACTTTTTAAAGTGTGGGGGATGGGGTACGGGGGGTGCCAAACACAGGGTCCGCCCTAGGTGCAAAATGCTCTAGGTACGCCCCTGTAACTGCCATCTTTGCACTGTAACTATATCGTCCTTCTGTAGAAAGCAAATTACCACTTTATATTTCTGTCGCTGTACTAATTAGACAGAAGAGGTTGCAAAAAGACTTACGTTTATGCTAAAACATAATTATTATCAGTACCAGAAATGTCTTCTTTATTTAGTTCTTATAATTATAATTGCACACGCATTTCAATAAACTTGAAAGATAAATTATTTTTTGTATCAATATTCATCTTTTGTTAAACATTAAAGAGCACTACAAATATATTTACTGTAATTAAACAAATGAAATAAATTTAATTATGAAGTGTACTTACTAAACAGAAAATGGAAATACATAATTATCTTATCCAGACACATTTACGTTACATTTGGTAAACCATATGTTAACCATTTCTTCACAATGTGTTCTTGACAATAGGTTAAGCACTTCACATTAACAAGTACAATGCAAAGGGCTAGAAGTAGGCAAACAATTAAAAATCAAGATAAAGATGCTGCAGTATATATTCTACTGTAAATTCCATTTTCTTTGGAGATACTCTCCAAAATTATTTCTATTCAGTGTTTAGCCTCCAAGTAAAAGGACTCATCTGGCACTACTACCAAACAAAAATAAATAAATAAAAGTTTAGCATTTTCTCTTAATCCTGCCTCCTCTGTCTCATTATCTTTAGTAAATATACTATTAGTGTGATGGCTACTACACAGGAGTATAGCTAGCTTTCTGTTCCTCTGAACCACTATTTTCCCCCATTAAAAGTATCCAGTCATTATGAAGAAGAGCAAAGGTTTCTGGGAGCTGTATGTCAGAAACCAGCTTTTGTAAGTAAAAGTATGATAGCTGAACTACAACTTCCAGAAACCTGTTCTCTACCCATAAAGTATTGCTGTGCAGACATTTATGTAAAGAAGTCAACACTTTGAAAAGTTCCAAACAGAATTTGTTAATATGTCTTGATTGATTCATTCTTGTTGTAAGGTACAGTTTATTGAAAGCCTGGAAAACCAGTGCAAATGCAGAAACTATGAGTAACCTTTGTATTGTTTTAGATATTGGATTAGTTGTTGTTCTATATATTCCTAATGCATTATGATGCATTTATTTATAGAATGGTTATTTTTAAGTTCCAGTCTTGTTTGCCACTTTAAAGGACCACCCCACACCCCAAAAGCACTTCAGGTTGCTTAAGTGCTTTATGGGTGAGGAGTATGATAGTTTAACCCCAGTTTCTATGAGAAATCAGACATTTTATAAATTAATTAGGGAACTCACCTCTAGCTCTCAATCAAACAGCCAGGGAAGATTCCTTCCTACTTGACAGGGTGGTCAAGGTGTGGTGGGGGAGGGTGTTTGTGGACATCCTTAAAAGCCTGAAAGGATTTAAAAGCATTTGTGGGGGCAAATTTAAGACCTTTAGTTAAAACAGATATCTGAGTGGATGATAAAACTTTTCCTTTTCATTAATGTTGATTACTGTCTCTCTAATCTTTCTCTTTTCTGATCTTCTCCTACTTCTCCTTCCTCTAAACTTCTTTTCCTTACTCTTGATAGATAGGGGGTCTGAGCTTGTGCATTTGTCTGTGTGTGAATTTCTAAAAAATAGTCTTCATTTTCAATTTCAGAGTCCACAGAAAGTAGCTGATATCTATTAGTGTGATTATAGTGAATTGGTGATTTGATTGTGTCATAATTTTTATACGCATATCACAATCTTTGTGGTGTGGGAGTGATAGTTTTAGGGCTTTTGTATTGTGTAGATGAATGGGCAATATAGCCATTAAAGTTACAATAGTGCGGTGAGGTAGGGCTGTGGTTTAGAAATGTGTTGTGAAGTTTTGCAATATCTGGGTGGGGGCTGCTGACGTTGAGATTCAGTGTGGAGACACTGAATAACAGTGCTGCACACTGTGCAGTACTGCCCCAAGAAGCACCTCTAGTAGCTATCTGAGGAGTGGCCAGTGGAGGTATCCCTACTGGGCAATGTAAACACTGCATTTTCTCTGACAAAAACAGTTTTTATTGCAAAAAGTCTGAAGGGAATGATTATACTTACCAGAACAAATACAATAAGATGTTGTTCTGTTGACTATAGTGTCCCTTTAAGCAGTGGCTTAAATAACCTCTTTTGGAACATATGGATAAACTCACTCTCCAAATGCCTATGCAAAGAAAAAAACAAGTCGAAAGGGCAAGGGACACATTCTTCCATATTGCTTTTCCTATCCTGTATAAATATGCCTGCACTGATTTGAAACCTAGTAAAGAGTTCTATAAGAGCGTGCTTTTGCTACGAATGATATACAGTCTGCAGGTATATGCTTGTTGCATCACTCTGTGTTCTGTGCTCCGTAATCTTCAGGATTCTATAATAAACAATCCGTTAGTTACCTTTTTCAACAACAAAAAAACACATTAAGGTGTAACCATGGCTAAACATTGACGTTTATTGTAATCAAATAATAACAAAACATACTATATTGTACATGATCCCAAAACTCCAAGGGCTGAATATCTTCACCTAAGATACATATATCGCTGGTAATTAAATATTGTTTTTCATACACATTAGTGACGTTTAACTAATGAACAATACTATTATTACCTCAAGTAACATAATCTCACCCTTATTAACAAACATATAATGCTAATACAGTATACAAAACAAACAAGGCTGTATCTTTTGCATAAGGTACAGGTACAAACATGTTTCGAGTGCCATATTAAGTTATTCCATAAGACTGCCGAAGGCGCCTTACAATACTGTTCTTGCAGCCATTCACATGGATGGTCCATTTGGATTTCTTCCTGAGAAGGAATGTGTCTCATAGAATAGCTGAACTATATTTCTGCATTATGTTCTTACAAGTCTATCAAAGTTTTGTTTTTTGATAGACTTGTAAGTTTTCCTCAACATGACACTATATATTTCTTAGCTAATATGTAGCACCATTTTTGTCTGATGTCTATCTTTATCATAAAGTTAGAAAATTCTGCTCTTATAAAAGAAAAATAAAGCTTTATTTGCTAAACACTATCTATCCTCACTTATTGCTTTCTGCCATTTTATCCTTCAGCATCAATAATCTCCACATTAATATTTTAAAAATCTGTGGTGATAAATATTTTAACCTATCTGTGCCAATTATCTCTGTCACATGACTTCAGATAGGAACTAATCTGACAAACGTTAATGTGACTGAACAGCATTGGTGAGTGTAGTTGGGCTAATGCTCCCAATGTCAAATAGCAAACAGACCAAGTTAAACAGTATCAGCAGTACAATGGGAAGCAAATATTACCCCAGTGAGTAAGTAAATATAAACGACAAGGAAAACAGGCGCTCAAAAACATATTTAGTATACAAAGTTTTTCTTAATAATTATGCTTGCCAACTTTAAACATATATAATAGACTTCAGAATTAAGATCAATTAAAATATCAAGATCAAAAGGAACAGCTAACTAAATGACTAGCTACATTAAAAGAGATAATACTTTCAGTGTTATTCTAAGTAAATTTAAAGTGAATTTCAAATATAAAGCCAAAATAGTCAAATAGGAAAAAGTCCAGTTCGACTATTTTATCCTTAAATTTGAAATTATCTTTGAATTCACTTTGAATTCTAACTACCGTATATACTTGTGCTGAAAAACCCCCACTCGTCTTATACTCAAGTCAAGGTCCGCGAGCTGACAGGGAGCTGACCGGACCGGAGGAGAAGGGAGCTGACAGGAGCTGCAGGAAAGGTAAGTAACAGCTCTCTACCAGCCCCCCTCCTGCACAGCCCATCCACTGGACCACAGGGAATGAGAGCCCCCCTCCCTGGCCAGCTAACAAGCAGGGAGGGGGGACGAATAAAAATAAATACAAAATTAAATAATAATAAAATAAAAATATTAATGAATATATATAAAAAATTAATATTATAATAATAATAATAATAATTAAAAAATAATAATAAAAATGCCCACCCCCCACCAAGGCTCTGCATCACAAACACACACTGCATTCATACACACAAATTGCATTCATACACACACACACTGCATTCATACACACACTGCATTATACACACACACACACACTGCATTCATTATATACACACACTGTAAATAAATATTCAATTAATATAATTTTTGGGGGATATAATTTTATTTAGAAATTTACCAGTAGCTGCTGCAGTTCCCACCCTAGTCTTATACTCAAGTCAATAAGTTTTCTCAGTTTATTGGGGTAAAATTAAGGGTCTCCACTTATATTTGGGTTGACTTATACTCGAGTATATACGGTAGCTCTCACTTTGGTTAATAACCCTACTTGTTTCCATAGCTAGTCAGACCTATGTACTAAACAAGTTATAAGATTATTCCACAGAATTACAGACATAAAAAACATTTATCTCACTAGAAAAGAACTGTGGTAAAATCTATATATTCGATGCAAGTATTCTGCCAACATATAATACAGAACTCGTACAATGTAATAATTTAAGCATTTAGCCATCAGACGTAATTTCTAATATTTAAAACTTTCCAGAAAAAAAATATAGATATTTCACTCCATCCACAAAGAAAACACTGAAGATCACACCCTTAACAAAATTATTGATTGTTTTATACATATATTTTTACCAAAATCTTGGGGTAATGCTGTCTAAACTTCAAGCTTGCAACTCTAATTATATATTTAATTATAACATCACACATACCAACATATAGTCTAAATTTGCTAAACAATGAATTGAAATTAAATGAAACTGGAATTACAAAATCCAGGCTAAAATTGGAAAGTTTTTCCAAATGGGCTACTTTTTCCTTAAAGCAGCAAATAGACTTGTGCACAAATTTGTTTGGAGCGGGTTATCAGAATCAAATTCCTTTTATTCCACATGTGAAATAATCAATATATCTGATAATTACCTGTCAAGTCTTGTTCATTGAATATGACACCACAGGTAAATTCCGGAAGGGTCTGTTTGTTCAGGTATGGATTAAAATGCAAATAAACCGCTTTAAATACATTTTTGCACAAGTCTTGTAGCTCTCCAGTTTCCAAATCACCATAATTCAATGTTTAGCTCATAAAATATTTTTGTGTTTTCATGGATCACTGTATTCCTGATTTCAGACCACTACTGCATATTCTACACAAAGTGATCTATACTTAATTTATTATAAATATTTTACCACCTATGTCACTTACTGATTTACTTTTAGCCAATCTTCATTAAGACCGCCCTCAACATGCTAACACAACCAATAGAGAATTCAATACAAAGAATAGTATTTCAAGTGCCTTTAAATCTATTATTGATTTGACACATCCATTAGCTTTCATATATTTATTTTTTAATATCGATGAGACATTTGATTTGCGTTAATCTGAATAAACATATACTGTACATTATTATTATTTTACATTCTCCTTCGTATTGTGTCTAGTGATAAATGTTCAGTGTTGGGTCCCTTGTTACACATTAGGAAGAAAGAGGTCTCCTTCCTTTTCTAAATTGCGAGGATTATAATGGGTGAACACATTCTATTTCTTTTCAAATTCTTCTCTCGGTTTCTATTTTAGTATTTACTTAAGCTAATAGTTATTGTGACTACAAAATGATGATGGAAATTGAGGGTAATTACCAATATTAGCCACAAACCAAAGGTCACTGCTTGAGCCCAAGACGTAAGGGCAGTGATGGTAGCATGTTTTCCTTATGATGACAGTTTGATGTCCACAAGGGGAGTTTCATCGGTATCTAACTTTGTTTCCAATTTCAGGAGAGGTGTATCTAAGCTTGAATTGGGTCTTTCTTCATCTTGGGGAAGCAGATCAGCTTTTTCCCCATTCTTTTTCTTCTTCTTCTTCACAGTCACAACCTCAGTATAGGTAACTTCTGAGATGGGTTCAACAGTGATATTTTCAGAAGCAGAATCAACATCCTCGTCTTTACTGCCTTCTTGGCCTTCTGCTGTGGTCCTCTGTTTCTCCTTCTTTTTGATCTTGAATGTGTCTTTCTTGGGAGCTGCCTTAGCGATTGATTGCTTGAACCTCTCTCCAGACTGCTTCAGTCTCTCCCCTGACTGCCTGATTCTCTCTCTTCTTTCAGGAGTTACAATCCTTGTGCGGATCTTACTTACTTTTTTCCCAAAATTTTGCCTTGTTTTTTGCATGCTTTCTTTTGAAAATGCCTTCTTAATGTTGTCAATACGCTGCATCCCTGATTTCTTTAGTCGTGTAGTCCTGCTTTCTTGCACGCTGTATTCCTCATCAGAAGAAAGGTCATCTGGGTATAATTTTTCTCTAAGGTGACCATCCAATGCTGTATCTTTGGCAACAGTTAGCCTTGTTGGACATTCAATGTCCTCCTGCAAATACAAACAAACAAATGTTAGTACTTTATTTATTGCACTGTTTCAGTAATCAAACTGAAGATCATTTCATGAATGGAAACTGCTGCCAAGTGCTAAAATTCTTATCGTATAAACTTCTGCTGAGCAGGGATTTGTGGAATATACTCACAAGCTTACTACGAACAGTGGGAGGGTCACAATTTACTTAGCATTCCAAATTTCTCGTCATGGCTGAAATTGTAGATTTGTAGCGAATAAGGGAATTTTCTTTATTTTTAAAAAAAAGAAGAACACTGAAGGAAAGGAGTACATAGCCCAAGTGATGGAAATATCCCTAGCATTGAGCGCTATACTGGGGTCATAGATGTAATGGATACAATAATGATAAATCAATACAAAATGGTCTTTATTAGAGGGAGGACCAAAAAAACATAGGGATACCACAGATGAATTAAATTATCATATATTGTCTGGAACTAAGGGCATTAAAAATATCCTTTATAGCACTCACATAATGAATGCATACACAGAGTAAATAAGTTTTGTAAGCTAGAGATTAAGGGGGAGCGGACACAGGTGAAGAGAGGGAACCAATCTAGTAATAGGTTTCTGTACACCGTATGAGTGAAGGTAAAGTGGGTGTAATGGTAAGGCCAACCAGAATAACCTCTAATGTTTAGAGATTAATTATTGATAGGTACAGGAGTGAGTAGGCTTGAGTAAAAGGGAAGGTGAAAATAGGATGGCTTCAAACCATAACACACATAATCAAAACCCTAAGAGTACTTATTCCTATATCAATATCTACTAAAGATATGTACCTACCCAATCTAAAGAATATCCTGAAAAACTCTTAAAAAGCTCCCATAATACCCCACAATACAGCAGCACACATAGAAACTCTGTGTGCCTACTACTAATAAGAATGGAATGCTTCTGAAGGTAAGGCTATAATGGAAAGCCCCTTTAAGCTGTCTTATAACTTGTACTATCTCACAATAGACTCCTGGCGGAATCCTGCATAGACACTGCCAATTCCCTGCAGCCAGCACTGGTGACATCTGTCGGGATTGACTCTTAAACTCCACCTTGAGTCTAAGAAAGTCAGGAGGAGGAGAAATACAAAGACAAAGTAGTCCTCACTTTGTCTCTGTATATCTATTGACTAAATTGGAATTTCAGTAAAATTACAACACAGTCAAAAGTATTTAATAAAGATTCTATCCATTAAATATTTTTTGAGGGGGTGATGGTGAGGAGGGTAACAATGCTGCTTTAACTCATGTGTTGCAAAATCACAACATTCAACAGAAGGGAAAAGTACAGATGCGCAATTTATTTCAGTGTTATCCTTCTTCATTGGAAATGTAAAAACACAATCTAATAATTCAGCTATTTTGCCTATATTTAGCAATTTGGTTTCTTAACAATTAATTATTTAATTAATAAAGCCCTCGTGCATTTTTCTCGTGATGGTTCATAATTATAACAAAGTTCTATGTTCCTTCTGACTAGCCCCTTATAGACCAAGTTTAACTTACATTTTCCATTATCTCACTATTCTCCTAATTTATGTCTAGAGAAAGATTTAATTAATTAAACTCAAGCATTGTACAATCCCTGCATACATTAACCATTTGTCAGACAATAAAACTAATATCTTGCTAGGACTGGCATGTAGATAAGTTTCAGCTGCCATGCTTCCTATCACTAATATATACATAGCAAAGCTGATATTAAAAATAATTCTACTAGAATATTAACAGAGTATGTGTCAGTCACACGTTTGCTCGGTCTAATTCTACATATTGGCATACACGGTGGCAACAAATAGAACTGACTGGTTAGCATTTTCTATTACTATTCCTGCTTACGAAATTCACCCCTGTTTGTAATAGACTGCATGGTCTGCAGCATTAGCCAATATAATTACAGCCAAAACAGGCACATGGAATTGAACTGAGATCAATGTAACAAAGGGGAAAATTAGTGTAAATATGTTATGCAGTCTGTGCAGCAGCCAAGGAAACAATTAAACATAATGCACTTAAATGCTGATTGGAAAAAGGCTGCTTAGTAGCTAACACAATGACGGGATTCAAATTCCAACAAGATAATTGTTTGTGTGCATAGGATTTTGTGCATCTTAATGACTACTGCTTCCCTTTCATCTTCATAAAGTATAGCCTTAAAGGGACAACGAACCATTTGGCAGGTATATATTTAAGGTAAACATAAGGAGAATGTATATTGAGTAATTTTAATTTACTGGTTCTACATTATAATCAATATTTAAAATTCTGCTTAGTGGTGGTATTTAAAATAAAATGAAAAAAAAAATCCAATTAGTAAAAATCACTTAGGCAGAGCCTGTCTACAGAAATTTGGCCATAGATTGCACAATGGGATGTCACAGAAAAGTTAGGAAATTACACCTAACATGCAAAAATAAATAAATGAATAAATACATAATCACACCACACTCCACCTATGCACATATCATTAGTTATTAGAACACGTCCCTTAAAAATATACATTAAGAGACTTTGTCCTCGATTTTAATATCTTTGGATAAGCTTTTTAAACGATTCAATATTTTTAATTTTTAAAAAATATTTAATTCTTTCAATTTTTTTTAATACATTGATCTATTTTATTATCTTAAAAAATGTGAACTAATTTAAAAAGCTTATCCAGCGTATCCAAAAATATTAAATCAAGGCCTTAATTAGAAATATCACAAACTAGGACACACATGATATAAATATGCTGGGCATGTGAAGGCTGGAAAGGAAAATGTGCAGGGCTTCTTTCAAAGACCAAAAGAGGAAGAAAGTATCAAAGCCAATCTAGTACCTTATTTTGCTGCATCCTATACAGCAGCTATGGTACCTTACTAGTATGTCAGGTATGGACCATATTATATTTTTTAACTGTTATAACATTTTATTCATTAGTCTTCTCTCCTCTGTTTGGCAATATTTGATATATTTGTTATAGCTTTAAAAATAATTTAAAAAACAATAATTATATGGTACTTTTACTCTTGTCTTCGATAATAATTAAACCGTTTCAAAGAGAAAAAGCACACAAATTATGATGAAAGAAACAGTAACATAAATGCAAGAGCCATTCAACAAGAAAAAAGTCAAGTATTAGTGGATTTATATTTGACACATATTAATGAAAGGGAAAATCATATTTGGGTAAAAGAAACAAAATCCTGAATATGTGTTGGTGGAAGTCTGTTTAGAAGTTTTTAAAATGAAGACCAAATATTTTTGGTACTGTTTATATTTAAGGCTTTGCTAATTGGGATTCACAGGTTTGCCAGGTGCTAAATCAATAAATAAACACACACGCATTTCTGCTAACCTATATTTTCACATTATTGTGTTTTGTGTTGTGTTTATGAAAAATAATTGTATACATATTCACATTAGTGTTATTACCTGAAAAATAACAACGCGGAACTTATTCTTCCTCAGCATCTCTTCTTGTTTTGATTCCACTTTGTTAACCTGATCGCTTTGTTTATCGACTCGAGACCTTACATCTTTCACATTAGAGCTTACTTTACGAGTCTTTTCCAGCAGCTTGGTTACTGTGTAGCTGGTGTTATCATGAGCTTGAGCAAGCTTTAGAAGGTCAATCTGTATAGTCTTGATTGTGTTCTCCATTTCTCTGTGACGTTCCTCAATTCTTTTCTGACTAGCCTGGACAGTTTCCACCATGTTGGCAACTTTGTCAAGAACTGTAACAATAGTCAATGCAGATTCATGGTCTTCCTCATCTTCAGACACAACCGAAAGACGGTTTATTTTATCTTTCTCAGAAGTTGTTTCGTACTGATCCATTTCCCCTGGCTGGATGTAATCTACAGGAGCCTGAGTCCCCCTGGTTACTGCTTTGGACTCAAGCTCACAATCTGGCATCAGAGCAAGGAGAGACAGCTGCCTGTGAAGACCTTCAAAGTAAAATGGAAAGCTCCACCCTAGTAGGTCATTTATAACTACTCATCATTCAAGCACTGTGGTCAACATACTTTATGAAATACCAAACCGCTAAAATTAGGATTCATGCTCTGAGTAATAAATCTGTGAAAGAAAATACTCTGGTCCTCTTCTGAAATATTCAAGACATCTGTTGAATCACAGTGAATGAACCAGTTACTAAGATCAGTTTGTGTACTTTGCAAAAATGCTATCCGATAGCTATTTGTAAATATATATTAATATATATATACATGAGTGTACACATTCAGGACAACTTTTCTCTTAACCAGTCGCTTCCAAAACACAGTCGGTAATAGATTAATCATATATGTAACGTTTTAACCTTCAAGATGTCTTTTGGTAGAGTACAAAACAGAAACAATACGATAGTTTTATCAATTTATGAAAGCACAGTGTATGACACACAGTATCGGTTTCAGAATGGTATGTTTTGGTAGAGTACAAAATAGAAACGATACAATAGTTTTATCCATATATGAATGCACAGTATATGACACACATTCTGTTTCACAATGGTAAAAAGCAGGTTCCTTAAAAAACTAATTCTCATGGTTTTTTTTCATTTTTTTTTATTAAAGCAGCCTTTTATTTGGTAATGGTGTTCAAATAAACAATATGTTGATCAAGATTTCCAAATGTTATTTTACATATCTTTTTAAACATTTATCTAAATGTAATAAAAGTGTTTACCGAATCTTAAACTGTCAGAGCTAAGGAAACATTTAAACCCCCCTCCCCACCCTCCAAAATTATTGAATTCTATAATTTCCCTTTTGCCAAAGGAGCAATCATTCTGCTGACACTCAAAGGGTAAAAAAAAGAAAGAAAGAGGGAATTAGAGATCAAAGACCAGACATTGCAAGAGTAATGGCACCTATTTGTGTGGTGTTTAAAAAAAAAAAAAAAAATTATAATAATAATCTAGTGGAATATGCACCTTGGTATGTTCTTCCAAAACTGTGAGCACTATTAGAAATGTTGATTGTATGTATATATGTATACCTATGTACACATAGAGATCCATCCATATGAATTCTGACACCACAGAAAAATGTGTTAAGTGTAGGTACTCCCAAACCTGTATTGGAGTACCACCAAAAAGTCACTTTTAAATGTCATTCTTATATGAACACCGGTGAGCAACAAGCATGAGCTACCCACAGTACATGCCATGTGTGCATGTAAACGAATGGCTGCCACAGATGACTACAATGCACTGATGTGATGTCATTAACATCAGGATGGAATTCACACACGACACAAAAGAGGAAGGAGTGCAAACACATGACACGAAAGATGTTACACGTATGGCTAAAACATATGTACACAATGTTTATTTTGCCTGCCCTAGGCAGGTAGCTTGTAGTCAATTAATTGTGACAATCAGTCTATCCATGATGTGATAGACTCACCTATGTTCAAGAAAGAATGCCATTAGGATACAGGGCCATTGGTAAAAAAGATGCTATTCTGGATAAAAGTGCTAAATAAGGTGCAATCGCCACAGAAACCAATAGAATGTCTCTCGGCATTTAGCACTGTCCAAAAAATATCACCATCCCTGCTTTGATAGATTGGTCCTATAGTGTTAGTGGTACTCCAGAACAACTTTTAAGAAATTGACCTACCCCATCCCTTAACCCTTGATGTCTAGGTCCAATGGTTCAAGATTGTCGGGATTAATAAACCATGTAACATATTTAACATTTTACCACTACTCACAGTATACAATTCACATTTCATGCGATAGCCAGTGTCTTTAAAAACAAAACAAAAATTAATAACTAAGTTCTATAAAACATTGAAATACCTATTTAAACACAGTGTGTCTTCTACGAATTCTGGTTAGAAAAAAAGATATCTGTAAACATTGTTACCTTTAGCTCATGCCTCGTTTGCAAGGTGTTTATCATTTTTTGATGTTTGTTCAATGTCAATAGCCTCAGGAGGGCTTTGGTGTGTTCCATAGGAGCAACCAATTGTGCGGATGCAGTTAACATTTCATCTGCCATTTCTTTTTAGACTTTAAAAGGTTCATGTCAATTTTAATTCACAGTCACTGCGTTCCTTGCTGAGAACAGCCTGGCACCGCATAAAACATTTGTTCCATGCTTACTGAACATCAAAAAGTTATAAACTAAAAATTGCCCTCATTTATCAAATCACCCCTAAATTTTGTGACTGTACCCCGACCGGTTTTCAGCATTGAGATGTTTCAAGTAAAGTATGTGTTTAATTTACAACCATGCAAAGCAGTTACAGAAAAACAATGGAGGAGTGTAAGTCCACGAAATGTAGCTAAATGAAAAAAAAAGTTAAAAAAAATAAAATAATGAAAAAACCAAAAAAAGCTGTACCAGTCCATTGCTGTCAGAGCTGAAGCATTGCATTTACAACAGACACCCAACAAGGTTAAACTATAAAATGTCCAAAAATAAGGCCTCTGAAATAAATATTTCCATTCTTTAAAAAAAGATATAATAAAAATGTACATCACATGGTCAATGCAAGTATAAAAAAAACAAACAAGGGAAAAAATGAAACACTGAGGCTACACCATCCGGGATGAAGCATCTGATGTAAAATGACCAAGGTTTTGTTTCTGTCGGCGCCCTCTGTTGTTTTTTGGGCACTTCCTGTTAAAAGAAAGCAAAAATAGTTAAGTCAACACATCTTTGTCAGTATCATATCATTTGTTAATAGTACTGACAGGTTATTCTAATCTTGAAGAAGACCAGGAAAATGTCAAAACACTGCATTTCATTTGGTATTGATATACAAAAAAGGATCACTACGTCTGACGTGCATGCTGGACAATTCTTTAGATTGATGGAATTTTAGTCAAAAGTATTATGTCAATATATACAATTTTGACCCCTTAAGGACACATGACATGTGTGACAAGTCATGATTCCCTTTTATTCCAGAAGTTTGGTCCTTAAGGGGTTAAAAGTGGCATTTAATAGTAACAAAAAATGATCCATGGGTTTAGTGTGACTCTTATTAAATGAAGTCTGGAACTAAAACATAAAAAGGACATTTTCTTTCATAAATCAAGAGAATTAAATCTGGGATAAAACTGATTTAGATACAAAATATTTCATTGGAAAGTCACTAACAAGGTTGTGCACAGAATCATAAATTATTTCATGATAAAAAAAAAAAGTCAAACTGGAAAAGAATTCTCATAGTTTTCAGTTCAGCTTTTTTGTCCTTAAAAGTAGAAATTCCATGGTAAATTCATGGTTCAGTAAATATCTCTCTTAAGAAAAACAAATAATTATCTAACCATATAAACTCAGATGCTACTTTACCAGGAAACTCTGCTTGTTACTAAAAAGAGGTTGTAAGCAGGCTGCAATTTAACATATAAAACATGCAGGCACAATCTTAGCTATTGTTCAGCCAATTACAATAACAACTGGTAAAGACAAAAGGGAATTGGGGGCACATCCGAAACATGCATCTTGCAGGAATGGTGCTGCCACAGTGGCTAAAATTTACACATAATACAGATTAAAAATACACACATAAAAATAGATTTCTAAATTCTATAAGGATACTTAAAATCTCAGCAAACAAATACGGGGATTCAGTTCCATCATATGGCCATATTATTTGGCCCACCACTACTTCACAGTAGCCAATATTGGAGGGACAAATGAATTAGTGCCAAATAAGCTGAAGTGTATTTAAATAGTAATGTCACTTTAATTACAATTTTTATTGAGCAGATATAGAATTTGCATTGTGAGTATATACATGCAAGCACTTTAATTGTTTAGTTTTGACACTGCATTTTTGTGAATTGCGTTAATCACATTAATTTTGAATTATACAAATTCACAATGCTCATACAACAGATTTTTTTAAATACACCAGTTTATTTAGCATTAACACTATTTGATCTCCCACATTAGAATTAGTGTAGGACACACTGATATTGGGGTGCTGTGAAGTAGTGGTGAGCTTAACACAATATGGCCATATGGTGGAACTGAATCTTCATATTTCTTTGCTGAGATAGGTGATCTTAAGCAGCCATGTAAAATTTAGAAATGTATTTTTATGTGTGCGCTGTTTTTTTACCTGTATTAATAATAATAACTGTGACATGCAGGACTTAAATGACTTTAGCAGTGGCATGAATGTCGGTGTCAGATGTGGTATTTAAAGTATGTCAGGAACAGCTCATTTTTAAATATTGCAGTCTCTAGGATTTACAGAACATGCTATTAAAGATTCAATGACATCCCGCTGTAGTGGATATGATGGTAGGAATACCGTGGCAGTGTGAATCCCCGGTAATGGGACAAACTGGTTTACAACACACATGTCAACCACATGATTCATTATTAAAAAATTATAGTTCATATAAATTCACCATTTAAGCAACAAATACTGTATAATTGAAAAAGTAACATACCTTGTTATACACATAACAATTGCAACTATAATAGCAATCTGTACTGCTCCAATGATGGCTGCTATAAGCACATGGGTGAGTTTCTGTCTGCTAGGAACCACGTAAAGAATATTAAAATCTGTCTTGTCACAGTATTGGCCTGTGTATCCAGAATCACACCTGAAAAACAGAAGCAGTAGGACTTTAAGTATTCTTATAACAAAAAAAAAAAAAAGCTTCATACAGGTTCATTGTAGTTGTTTTTAGAACCCTACATTTAATAGTCTTCATAGGAAAAGAAAACATACAATCAAAAATAATGTAGAATTCAATTTTAGTTTACTCAGTTGGAAATAGAATAATTTTTAAATAATTGAAAAGGACAATAAAATACTGTAACTTCAAAGGTTTACCTGCTGCTTCATAATTCCTTTATTCTTTTGACATAAACCCTTTCCCATAAGCTGCTCCACATGTAATACTTGTCCTACTGCTTAGAGCATTATGACGTCAGCGAGATAAACATAACCATTAGCAGCTACCTTTATTTACTGTTTATTACATATATATATATATATATATACACACTTTTAGAATCATTTTAATTCACAGTGGTGTCTTAAAGGACCACTTATGTTCTA